ACCACGGCATGTACACCAGGTGTCACAGTTGGTACACGCTCCGTTCATGCCGTGGTGGATCCCTCGTTTCAAGTCCTGATTTTTGCATGAAGCCGGGCTGGTCGATTGTTGTCAAAGCCTATCGAGGCATGATACAGCCCTATCTGGTCCGAGAGTCTAGGCTCGGATGACGCTGGACTGTGCCGCATAGACACCGTGGAGTAGAACGCAGTGAAGTATCCTGAGAGAAGGAATGAGACTGTAGCAACGCTTTCTCTGCTCTGGTAGTCAGGCAGCGGTCTTGGCGGTGTCGTTTGTTGCAGAGTCGGCAAACTCACATCGGCGTCCGGTCCGCGTTGGTGGAAACGAGATGCATTGTTGGCTTGCTGTACCAAACCGGCCTACGCGTTTGCATATTGGAGATGCCGAAGCCCAGGCATGCGTACGCTCTCGGCCACACGGATGACTTTAGCTAACATCCCAAATGGCCGAAAACACGACAGTCGACGCACAAACATTTGAACAGGAAGTACGCGAGAGCCTCCGCACTTCGACATGACATCATGAGTGGATATAATGCTCTGGCTGGCACGAGGAGAAAAACGTGCGCCAAGTGAGCGGGATATTTTCAGTGACCGTTGGATACCACATCGCACGATCGCCATGTCGAAGCCAGGTCTGGCCCATCGGTGACGGCGTCCAAGTAAGCGAATGTCGACTGCCGGGCAAGGATTCGAGACTTCGAGTTGGAAGGCTGTGCGCTTGGCACCACGGAGTACTCAACAGCATGGTACTGGCCGTCCCATCCTCAACTTCAGATGATTTAACACGTTGAAGTACACGCAGCCAATAGATTGGTGCGTCGAAGCTTCGGTAGTTTGCACAGTCCTCTCCCGGCAGAAGTGCTGTTCACCGTCGTCGTGTGATCCCGCCCGCATACCAGAGACTTGGTGGTTGCAAATTCCGATCATGTGAGACTCGCGAGATAACCAACCAACAGAAATGCTAGGACTAGGTCTCGACGGCAGGACCATCTCTCAGTATGAATAGCATTGCGTGGTTTGCGTCGACCTGGTAAAGGGATTGCGAAATAGTCCTACGTCCTGTGCGCCTGGACGGAAGCAGTCCTGGGCGTCGCTTAGTCACTACGTCGCCGAAGACGAGAGCTGGTAGGTACCGGTCAAGTGCATGACGAAGCGTGGAGATCAAGGCCGCTTGGCCATGGTTCCGCGCAAAGCCTTAACGGGAGGCGGCGGGAAGGGTCTTCAAACGGTTGCGGCCACATGGTGCCGGGACGTGAAGCATTGAGTTAGCCTACATTGAGTAGGTAGCTGTCGTCAATGGGGATGGACCATGATTCGCGAGGGCGGCTTAGGGCAACCACCACCTGTGTCTGTCTGACATGGTGATGTCTGAATGGCTGGCAATCGTCCCATCTTTCCCATCTTTGGTTGCAGACAGACCATCTCCGTCTTTGGCTGGCATCGTTCATCAATCTGGACCCCAGATCTGGCGAAGAATCCTTTTGGGTGCGGGGATCGCTACCGTACGTTGAAAACCGGCGGCTGTCTGCGTGCACCACAGACGGAAAGGCAGGACATGTACGGGTACCTACCTTCGCATCTATCGGTATATCCCATCAACGAACGTTCAAATGAGCAGCAACCGGAAGACGCTGGGAAGCGGAATGCGTTGGCGGCTGGCGAGCGATCAGGCAGTCAGGGCAGATCTGCAACAGGTAGCGGGATGGTTTGGGATGTTGTAGATGCAAAGTTGCAGACAGAAAGAGATGCCTGGCTGGCCTGGTGCTGTCAAGTGTACCTAGGTAGGCCAGCTGCACCGCCTCCAGGGCTAGCATGTGATGAGGTCACAGCGGGCTGAGCGCCCTAAGAGCGCCGAAGACGTGCTCGCACTGTGATAAGTCGGTCACAAGGAACCTGCATGCAGTGCAGCCACACAAAGGTAAGGTACATAAGTAAGTCAGGGACAGTGGCTTAGACGCGCCGGCAGACGTTGGATACTCTTATCTGAACCGTGCCTGACTCCGGTGTGCACAGTAGAGGCCATGGCGGTGTGTCACACCTGCGTCCAAACCCGGAATGCCTTCAAGTCTCTACACAACACCACAGCCTACTTCACCAACCTGCAGCTCTGCTCCCAACAAGGAGACTGTTCTCAAGTCTCCATGGACGTTGGCTGAAGTAGGGCCTAGTCAGATTGAGATGACAGGCTTAGTAAGAACCTCGGACGAGTGAACGCATGGAGTGCGTGGCCTCCCCCATCTGCAATCTCCGCTCACACCAGGCTGGAATAAATCCCACTGGGCAGGGAGAGTTCCGAACAGCCCTGAAGGTGCATATGCAGAGACACCCACGCATGCCACCGCCAGAGACAGAGACAAGGGCCATCCTGGGCGCGGTCAACGTCGCTGTTTGATCATCTCATCACGCCTGGACGGCTCTTCGTCTTCCATGGGGACGATCATCCTCTTGAAGACCGACCAACCGACCGCCCAACCAACCGGCCTGCTTATCATGCATGGCCTGTGCCTGAAAACCGGCTGCGGAAGAAGCTGGGCAAATCTTCACATGACATGAGAGGCGGTAGCTGCATATGGATGATCGCCCGCATGCATTGCGTCAGCCATTGGGGTGGTCCAGATCGTCCGGTGTTGGTGTTGCTGCTACACCGGATCACCTGCCGTGCCGGTCAGGCTGTCAGGTTGATATACTGCGAAACCTGACTGGGCGCCCAGCCTGACCAGATCTGGAGAGAACCATTGTTCTGTGCAGACCAGAACGCGTTAACGCTTCACGGCTATCCACCAGGAACACAGGTCAGATCTTAGGATTTGGACGTGCTTCCCGGCTCCCTGAACCAGAGATCCAATCCTCTTCTCTACCTATCTGCGGTCCATATGGGAGGACCCGGGAACCTCTTTTCATCAATATTGGGTTCTGGGACTTGACGAGGTCCAGCTGCGCGGAATTCTTGTCACGCCTCTACCCGTCGATATGCAAGATGGAGCAAGCACGCGCGCGCCTACGACAGGGCTTTATGACCATGACCCGTCGAGCTCAACTCGAGGGCTACGGGAGCACACACACCCGACTTGTGCGTACAGCTGTCGTGCAAACAGCATAAATTTCACAGTCACTCATTTGACAGGGCCCTGGCGAGGCTTGCCAGGTCAGCCGCCTGCCCTGCCCTACCCACTGCCAACTTGCCAACTCGCATCAAATCCTCCAGATCCATATGCCAAATGGCCTCTCGCGGGAATTGTAGGTACACCAGCCAGCCGCCTGAAACGGTCACTCGGCGTATCGAACCCTCATCCCTGCACTATAACAACGTCGATATCAGATCTGCTGCACAGATATGCATCTGTCAAACCACAGATGCGGTCGGCCCTCGAGTACAGCCCAAATCGCACATACCTTTGAGAAGTTGAACCTTCATTTTCTCCTTTCGGACGGTCGCCCCGTGGTGAATGCTGGATGAATGCGATCCGCATTTTTTGACATGGGCCGTGGAAGCTTCCGAAACGCTACCGACCCCGTCCCGCCTCGGATCGTCGCCCGATCTTGACAGCAGCAAGGTAGAAATGGGTACAAATGAAAATGCCTTTTCGAACGCATTGCGCTGTGTCACGTCGACGCCGGGCCGCTGTATCGCTGCGCTTGCTCGCTGCTTTCAGATCTCCATCTCCATCGCCACCAGGCAATCTTGCATTGAGCAACGCTGGCTGCAGCGTCCGAGAGCAGCTCTGGAAGCCCTGTCGCGCTTGGCAGCAGATTCCAGGATACCCGAAGTGATGGGATCATGTAATCAACGGCACCCTCTACCGGCAGGGCAGCACAATGTCAAGTGGACATGTTACGAGCTCGGACTCGGGGCCTGCGGTGTCGTCTCGATACTTGGCCACAGCTAATGTAAATCGAATTGCTAGGTGGCATCGGCCCTCCTCAAGGCTCAAAGCCAATGTACTCTGACAGGAGGATGCAACTGAGGAATCAAACTTGAGTTTTAGATGACTCGCTTGCAATGCACAGTGGGGCACAGCGTCCACGTCTCTCGGGCTCGGTTCTGCCTCTGACGAGCGCTGCCATCCTCTGCATCTATCTGTCTTGTCAGCACTTACTACATACGCAAGTACACTACTCATCAGAGGCGGAATAATGTCATTTGCCAATTCCGATCTGCGCGTTTGACGGACAGCTTCACTGACTGCAAGTCAAACGCACTGTGCTGTCTGTGGTTCTCTGGCTTCAATCCTGAAAAGACTCTCAACGGCCAGACCCCAGTCGATGCCTGAACTCGAGTGACTTCCGCCACGCGGTTCTCCGGCAAGGATTCCGAACGGAAAATTTCCTGTCATATCCGTCTCGACCGTCCGTCTCGCTTAAGGGATGGAGAAAGGCGGGACTTGCCAAGGCCCCGTAAAGCAAGGTGCTAAAAATGGTTTACTTAGTTAACCGTCAGCTTTATACTTTACTTTATCAAGAAATCTAAGCTTATTTAACGTCAATTAACACTATAATATTATTTTAAGTAATGCGTATTAAGTTTTATTATAATAAGTTAACAACTACCTATATAATAAAAATTACGTGATAAAATAAATAGTTATTAAATTTTTTATATTTAAAGATATTTAAGTTGTTTGTATATAAATGTCTTAATATAATTCTGCTTTAAACTGGTAAACCTAGAAGAAACTACCTGACCATGGGGTTGCACATTTGCCCTGATACCGCATTAGGTACCAACATCAAATGCGAACCGAGGACAGCATGGGTCACTGGCAGCCGTGGCCTCACTGTACATGGAGTTGCATGCCCATTCTGGGTACTGTGTACCGTACCATGCACCCCCCGAGACTCTACCCTCGAGGGTCGAGGGACATGGTCTTTCGGTAGATCCCTACACACCTCGGCACATCATCGTCATCCTGTGAAATCACAGTGCCTAATGTTACTTGGTATCGCCCTCTGTTGATTCCTACAGTTATTGGCTAGCTCATGCCACTATCGTTCGCTTTGGGCCTCTACATCTGTGCCGTCTTGGACCAGCGCGTACATACTCCCCAACTTACGCTCTTTGATATACCTACAAGGAATATTCTTACTCCTCCCCCACACCATCATCCGTCCAACTGCGCGATCAGCTCCAGATTCGCCTCCCCAAGCTCTATCACCATCTACGAGTACGAGGCATTGTACACTGCGCCTATTCTCCATTTCGCCTTGCTGGACGATCTCCAAGACGACCGCCTGTTCGACAATTTGCCACCTGTAGGACCTACTGACCTGACCTGTTGGCACTGCACCTCCAAACGATTCGGCCGGTTATCCTACTACAGCAGAGATCTGCCAGAACAAGCTCGGGACACCGAAGGCTTCCTCGGTCGAACATTGTCACATCTTCGGGGTTGTGGCACCACCACGAGCGAATCCAGCACGTTCTAACGCGGCTAAAGGCCCAACTCCCTGGCGGCGGCAGCTATAATAGCTTCACGGCGGATTTCTGTCGGTAGCCAGCGGCCCGGACGAGAGCTGGACTACCTCAGCAGACCGATCCCGAAACCGCGAAACCAAACAAGGCCAGTGGCGGTGCCTATAGGAAGAGCTCCAAGGTAGTCCGGATCACCCGTTGCGCGCGGACTACCTCTGCGACGTTGGCCATATTGTGTAGTGCGACGCCAGTCCAGGCACACGCGAGGAGACTAACAAAGGCGGTACCAGTGCAGACCAAAGAGTCTCAGGCGTTGACCACGAACAGGTACTCAACCAAAGAAACATAGGGGGGAGCAAGAGAAATTCGCCCAGTCTTTCGAAGCCGGATCAAGTGCCTCGAAGCAGACAGCCACCGCGTTAATCCACATCCGTTCCTGTAAGCACCTCGTCACTCGTTTACACCGGCTTGCTTGGAAAGAATTTCGAACTTCTATCGAAGATCCCCCGATCCCAGTATCGACCGCTTTACAGCCTCGGCAGGCCTCCCTGGTGGTGTCCTTTGTACCAGGCAATCACATCAGAATAGAACTTCCGGTTTTCGGAGAAGGAGCCGCGACGGATGCGACTGGAGAAGGGGTCACCATTCCTCACCAACACTCCACTACGAGACCTTCACTCTCGATCTGTACCTGCTGCCTCTATCTCCATGGTTGCAGGCGCAATTATTCCACCTGGTCAGCAAACCTATAGTGTGGATTGGCGCATTTGCTGGGCGCTCCTCGGAGCTTAGAAAAAGAAGAAGAAAAGGTTCTCGCCCATCGTGGCCTTTAACGCCGATTTCTATCAGAGATAGCATTTACCTTCCAGGAAGCCTCTTGCTCTGAGGCGGCTATACATTCGTTTCTGTGTTGCAATTTGCATCTTGCGACGAGGCTCCCTTTCTCCTAGGACGATAATAAAAACATTGTGTGAGTTGCTCCCTTGATTCGCACTCCTCCTTTTTCGGCTACCCCTCCCTCCTAATCTGTCACCACAACAACATCGTCACTGGTACCGCTTGCGACAGGAAATTTCTGCTTACTACCACACGCAGACTTTTCAGCACTGTACTTGGGTAACCTTTAACCTACTACTCTACGACGTTCGTTTTTCCCATCGAGAAATATACGCTGTCGACCAGGGTAACCGATACTCTGCTTGACAACGTAGTATCCTTCGACAACCATCGCTTGCATCACCATTCATTGTCCTCGAACATACCGCCCAGCTACACCTTGTTTTCTCCCGACTTTAGTAGCACTTCTTGCAATATGGCATATGGTCAACCGTGGGGCGCGTCCGCCTACATGCCGACGATGAACACAGGCATGCCACACCTTCAAGGACCTCCCGTCCATGCGCAAGCGCAACCGCAACCGCAGCAACAGGCGCAATCCAGACCGAATGGCTCTTCTGGACAAAGGTGCGTTTCCTTTGCCCTCGTCGCCGTGTCCCAGCCGCAGGGGGTTACTGACATAATCGGTTCAGACCTGGGACCTATACGCTATCCATCATGCAGCAACCAGAAAGCGCAAAGGCGGCAAATGGCAAAGACAAAGGCAAGTATTCGTATCCTCCCGGCGGCATTCTGATCAGATGGACTAACGCGCATTTGCGACCATCAGACCGCAAGCCCGTCGATCCACCACCGATCCTGAAACTCGAGGTGCCAGCCAACGAGGACCCCGATGGAGTGTACCGCCAAAGTAAGTCAATGGATGCATCCGCCCTTGCGCCCAGGCTTGGCTGGCCAGACTAACCGAATACAAGGCCCATATCTCATGGCAGTTGCGTTCCTCGAGTATGCACCGAGCGCGGACCGTGGTGATGCGCTGCCATCAGCTAACATGATGTCGGGGCAAATGGTTTCCTCGCTGCACCGGCTCAAGGATCCAAGCAACCAGGAAGGAGCATTTTTCATCTTTGGGGACCTGACGATACGAAGCGAGGGACACTATGTCATCCGATTTGAATTGCTTCAGTTTGAAGTTGGCGGCGACGAGCTTGGCTTCGTGGATCATATCACATCAATCACCAGCCGGCCTTTCCAAGTACACGCTGGCAAAGCATTCCCAGGCATGCAGGAGTCCACATTCCTGACGCGGTCTTTCAGCGATCAGGGGGTCCGACTACGACTACGAAAGGACTCTAGACAGATCGTCAACCGCAAGCGGAACCAGAACGTGTCCCACCGTCTAAAACTGAAGGGCGAAGAGACGGAGGTGAAGCGGAAGGGATCGCAAGGCATGCTACTTGGCCAGCAACTGAGCAACAGGCAAGGCGGAGCGCAGAATGGCCAAGTGCCACAGATGACGGACGAGAGCTACGAGAACGAGCAGTACGACGGACCGGCCTACAAGAGATCACGCACCACATCCGGATCAGCAAATGCTGTGACGCCGACCGTGTCAGAGGGCAGCACGGAATCACGGCCTTGGGCCCATTTTCCCTCCTCGGCGGGGCAGCAATACGGCAGCCATGGTCCATTGCTTCCCATGTCCGGGGGCCCGTCCTCCTCAGCCTCGATGAGCGCGCCGGTCATGCCGCCCCCGACGGGCCGACTCGACACCCAGTTCTCCTCGCTTCACCAGGGGCAAGGGGCGTATCATTCTCCGGCCGGGGAACGACAGTCGCCTATGACCCAATCGCCTATGCACCAATCACCCATGCACCACTCGCCCATCCAGTTTGGCAACGCCAGCGTACATTCCACCTCCCCCCATCCGTACGTATTTGGGAGCAGCTCGAACAACGCCAATGCTCATGCATTGGGTGCTCCCTCGATGGGACAACACCAGCACAGCTCGATGAACGCGGCTACCTTGCACAACGTCTCCCCACGAACCCATACCCAGATCAACGGCACCACACCGACAGGCACAGCGTCGCCTGTAGGAACCAACATGTACACCACAGCACCACCGACATCGGACACCCCGCAGCCTCGCCATAACCACCACAACCAGTACTCCCATGCGGCCGCATACCAGAATGTGCAGCAGTCGTATGACCAGAGCACCCTGCATGAACATGGCTTGCATACACCCTTGACCGCGAGCATGCCCTCTGACAGCATGAGTGGACCATACGACGTCTACGGTGCAATGGTATCAAAGTCGGACTAGTCTCCTCAATTCTCCTCTTCTTTTATAATACCTCTTCTGAACAATCCGCATCGGGCAGTACGATTTGTTTACAGATGATACCCTGGCCAGCAACCTTTTTGCAATATTTCCTATGTTCTCTGTGCATTAGTCGGAAGCAGCATCTGTGATACAATCACCAGGCGTTGGGAATGGGGGTCGTCACGTGTAGGACCGGCCCCGGCGGCACCCTTGTTTGTTTTGCTTTCTACGGGCGGCGGCGGGATGGCCGAAAAAGTCCTGGTCTTGGGCAGTGATACCCTGCGGCACAAAATTGATTCGGTTTTGACTATTCACCTTTATTTATAATACACGCCTGGGCGTGCCATTATTTTCTATATTCTCAAATCGTCATGTCTGACAACAAGCGTTCAGTAATCAAACCCTAGAACTAGAATTATAAGCATCACTGCATCTTGTGTTATTGCTCATGGTGTTATTGCTCATCCATTATATGTGAAGTGCCCATCAGGAAGCATTGAAGGAACCAAGCAGGTATTCATGCATATATACAGGGCTTCCACGTCTGGTCAGTACTGCAGCTCCCTGCAGAACAACGAGTCTTCTACCCCCCATATGGCTGGCCTTCTGGCAGCCCATACATTAAATGTGACGACCGTATTCATTTGGGCTAGATTAGCAGAGAACCACATGCTTCGTCGCCACCTTCGTCACAGGCTTTGTCACTTCTTGCCAGCTCGAACGTGTCTGGCATGAGAAACTCTCGTCTGCTGAGCACTCTATGTTCGAGCACTCGATGTTTGGTAGTTGTCGTTTTTGTAGCATTCAACGCCGGGGGACTGCCGCGTGGCGGCGTCAACCAGGGGCTCCGAGAGGCCGCAAAGGCGTGCTAGTTTAGGTCTTCTATATACATGTAGAGATACCCTGCCCGTCTAGCAGACCAAGGCCGAAGACAACCACAGCACTGAAGCGGCGGTTCACACCGTATCTCCTTAGCACTCGCTGCCAGGAAGCATGAAAGGGACCGAGAACCTATCCATGTAGATATACCTGGCCTGCGGAGGCAGCCGACACTGACGAGATTCCGGAGCTGCAGCCGTTCGTATGATTAGGTCCAAAAACATTTGGCTAGATGGCGTATGGTGGGCTGCCTCGTGCATCCATGAAGCAGCCTCCTCCCTTACTTGCCTATCGTGAGGTTGCGAAGAGAGCCCCCAGCAATAGCATGATTGCGTTACTTCCACGCGTGACTAGTACTTCTGACACGTTGCGTCACCTGGTGCCTGTACCAATAAGCTGCCGGATCTATGGAAGGTGGCCGCCAACCTCTCCATGATAAGCAACGACGAGTCATCATTCCCCCCTGTGGTTGGCCTTCTGACAGGCTGCGTCTTCTCGGCGCCTGTACCAATAAGCTGCCGTGTCAAGGGAAGGCGACTGTCAACTTCTCCCCCCTTATCATGGAATATGTGGCCAGGGGTACTGGCAGGCTGGCAGCTTTTGCGTATTGCATGACATTCCATATTAGTTTGGTTTCTCATGCAGCAATGAAGTTCTCTGTCACATTGGTTTCAGTGCTTCAGGCTGGGGTGATGTCTTTCGCACCATAAATGCAGAGGACGTTCCTTCCCCCGCCAGCCTTGCGGGGACGGTTGTCAGGTTGAAGCAGTATGACAAGGACTCTCGTTTGACAGGCTCTTCTTGTAGGTGTGCCGAGACGCATCCTCGAGCGAATCCCCCGCATACCGTGCGACGTATAGGTTAGGTAGGGCAGCAGGGCAGCAGGGCGACAGGGCGCGATGGGCCATGGCCTGGCCACCGGCAAACCGTTTTGGGCTTGGACTGGATGCTTTGGGTTCCGTCGGACTGTCACAATGGTCGCCCAGTTGCAGTAAAGGGGTCCAACTACCTGAGATCGTCTTGAATACCTATTCAAAGGACACTGAGGACTGAGGGCCGAACCACCCCAGTCAATATGGTTCCAGCTTCTTGGACGACTGCTACTCACACAATGCTATTTGGGCATACCTGGCGAACTCAGGTCACTAAGTGCAGCGAGTTCTAGAACTTGCTTCCCAACGGTGAGCGCTCCCAAAGCTCCGTACTGGACCAGCTACCTGGCGCTACAGTATCCCTTAGGAGCTCATTGCAAGGCAGAGAGCTGGAATAAGTCGCACTGTCACTTCTAGACGTCGGACTTGAGTCACCCGTACCAGGTCTTGGCGGTTCCAGTGAACGATTGCCCAAGAATTCGTACCTTCTAACATTGACGAGTGTTCCAACCGGGCAATGATGATCAATGGTCCTTTGATGAACTGCGAAAACGGTTTAAACGTTATGTAAACGTCTAACTTCATTCGTCGTTCATAGATTTCCATACCCAGTCCATAAACGGTATCTAAACCATGAGAAACTCTTTAGCACTTGTTAGTTGAGCCCTGCGAGTTCTGGTACGGACGTTACGCGTTCCATTGTGTTCTCGAGAAGTACATCAGCAACAAGTACACCAGCAATGGCTGCCTGTCTAGCTGGCATGGGCCACAACGCGCCTCATAAATTACTACCAAGCAGTGCGGATGCTGATACCCAGTCGACACGGTCCAGAGCCAAGTCTTGTGACAATTTGGTTCGTTGGCCCCTGCAAGGTCAGCGGTAAACTTCATTGAGAGCGACCTCGGCCAGGACGTCATGAAGCCTATCATTAATGCTCTGCTTATCACTTGATGCCAGCTTAGAATTACGCTGTTAGGAAACCCGATCTTGCGTTTGTGGAGATAGTCGTAAGATTGATGATCATGTTCACGACAGCCTTGACAGTCCTACTGTGGTTTTCGGTTATTACTAGCGACGATATTAAGCGCAAGTGTCTTGAGAAAAAAATCTCTGTGTCCTTGATGACTGACCCGATGCTCTGTTGGTCACGATGCCAACCATATTGGGAGGGGGCGGGTTGGGTATAAATGACCTGTTCTTCTGCAGAGAGCCGCAGTACTAATCAGACGTGGAAGCCATTTTTATATGTACATGAATGGTTCCTTTGTTCCATGCATGCTTCCTGATGCTGTTTAAGTCCCCTAAACAGAACCCTTTCCACATATTCGTCATCCAAGGGACTGGAATCGCGCCAATAATCGAAGTACCGCGCTGTCCCTTCCTTGGTTTGCTTCCAGAGGTTCAACCGTCCGCCTCACCCGCCGGACATAGAATGGGAGCCTCCCGGACCTAGGCGAATCTAATATAGTACCGCTGAGAGGGAACCGACACCCACATCCCGCACGCTGGCATATACTGCTGTAGGGGACAACGACCCGCCGACCTGATAGTCCTAAACGGAATGGACTGGAGGCCCTGATTACCTTGCCCTAACGGAGGTTTGAATTGACTCTAGCACACAGATAGTGGACCGCTTGTTAATTCCTACCGTCCTTGAGACCTTCAGGCGACTACAACCAACCAATCAACCAACCAGTCGATCTCTTATACCTGCCAAACCAGGCATCGGACAATCCATAGCTAGGGATGACTGCTTAAGATCGACGGCATATTTGCGATCGAAAGGAATATACCGGTGACCCCTGAGATAATGAACCGTGGGTCGGTTTCGACAGGGAGCCCCCGCCAAGTACCTGTATGTAAGGACTCGCACTCCTCCGTGCGAGAAAATACTTTACGTTTCCTCTTCTTGAGACAGAAAGTTAGACTATCTCATCGTATTCTGAGATACGATGGCAATTTTCTGTAAGTGGCCGGACCACAGTTCATCATTTCAGGGCAGCCAGGGGTGACCTGTACGATAAGTTATCACTCAGGTTCTGGATCAGTACGACTATCCGCCTTCGTTAGTGCAGTTAGCATTATCCCGTTATCTCGACGTCCTCTCTGGGAGAATTAGACGCTATCATTGAAACGTAGAGCTCTTCAGAGCCTTGTTTGAACCCTTTAACCTTGCCTGGTACAATGGACTCGAGTTGAGCTGTTGATTGTCGTCCAGCACACCCATGCCCCCTGCTCAGGCGGTGTCACTTCTTGGGCAGGCAGGCAGGCAGGGTAGCATGTGAGGATCACTGCGTCGGCCCTCTGCTCCGAAGTATTTTCCGAGATTTGCATCCTGACGTCGGTGAAACCCACCGCCGCGCATACAGAAGTTCTCGAGCAGGGCCCCATGACAGATAGCGAGGGGTCAGAGCCCTGTCAAGACGGGGTTTATGGAAATTGAACGGCCAGGCCTGTGCGAATATGAAAATGCAGCACACGGAGTACCTGATCAGCAATAAGCAGCTGTAAAGCCCAAAGAGCTGTCATTAGCGGTCTGCTAGGCCCAGGCCACGCAGGCTGTCTCGATGCCGCAGCTTGGAAATTGGCCCAAGACTTGGCGCGGTCAAGAACCAGGTAAACGCATCTGGCAGAGTATCTCGCGTCGGTATCGACGGGAGCTATTTTCAGTTGTCAGATGCGAGCTTGCCGCAGTCGGAGCGCGGGAGACGTCGGTGTGAGGGCTCATTTACACTCGAGGCATGTGGCAAATGATGACCACACCACCACCTTTAAGCGATTCATGCCCAAAACCAGGTTAGCCAGGGCACCGTGTGCCCTTCCTTGATTTGATTTGATTGTCTGCAGTGCGGAATACAGCCACGTCGACCCAGAACAGCGCCTTTTAAGGTAGCGGGGTCAAAAACGTCCGCGATCATCTCATTTGATAACCGGTAAACCTATTACAGATGTGACGGCGGGAAGAGCTATCAACGACAAATTCGGTGTAGACAGACACTTACACGGATGGGCGTGTGGTGAGAGAATTGACACCAGCAGCCTCGAAGACACAACTTCACAAGTCTTCTGGTCTGGCCTTGGTGGCACTCGATGATCGTCCTTTGCCGACATCCGCTGCACAAGACAGCGATCTTCGGCACAGTTCCGATCCAAATGCACGTTTTCCCGTCACAGATTGCACAGCTTTGAGCAGCGCTGCGAAGGAGATCATCAATCGACAACGCCAAACCCTTCTCTAATTTTATCTTCGACACGACCAGACTCCTGCACCAATACCACCATAACCCATCTCGATAGTAAGCCATACTATAACCCCGCATGGATGGAGACAAGTGGTTCGCAACAGGGGGAACGGGGGCCACACACCATTTCGAGTCGGTTCCCTTCCCACCAAGGTGGCAAGCAGCCTGCAGGGCAGCAGGGGCAACGGCAGGCGGTGCCAGGAGGAGCACACCAGGGTCCAGGATCCATCCTCGAGCCGCCGTTGCATCGCGCAGGGGTGCCCAGGATGGAGCTGCATAAACCAGTTCTCGGCCGGTATTCTTCGCTGATCAAGAGCTGACGCCGCCGATACTGTGACCGGCAAACCCGCCGGCTAGTCGTAGTAGCCGTAGAATTGCAAGGGCGATGCATTTTATGATTACAATACTCGCAATCCGACCCGAGATCAGACAGTGAATAAAATATACCTTGACTCAAAAGTCGTTACTGCGTCGCCGGGGCATTTCACAGGCTTGGGGGAGATTAACTAGTCTGATCATGCCGATATTTAGGTGAGAGAGAAGAGCTGGCGATGCTACAATGGAGATTGATTGACAGGCTAATGAGCTGGGACGCGGAAATGAGTGAGTCAGCGAGTTCAAGAGGTAGGTCGACTCAAATATTGGCTCGTTCTCTAATAGCGATCATACTCTACGAGAGATACTGCCCAGCATAGAACACTTCGGCACTGTGCTGTCACTGTACAAAGCATACTTCAACGGACAGCACTACGCACACCCATACATTTACCGGCCAGCGATCCGCCAGGATGATATCACGCTACTCTGCCGTGACTTAATACGGCAAGACCTTGCGCTCCGTGCATTTTCATGTCGTCTCTTGCCATATCACCGACCTCACTCCTCGGCTGCGGAAGTCTAACTCCCAGAGAGGCGTGTCCAGACCTTACCGATGCCTGCTCCTCTTGCCGTTGCGTACTATGATCCTACAGCTACCGGGGCGTGCAACCACACACATACCAAGATGAGAAACATGGTGATAAGCTTCTGCAAGCAAGCGCCCGGACGTAGCAGAGCCAGTGCCGGGCTGTCGCCGGAACCGCAGGCGTCGGGCACCAAGATTGTGTCCTGCTCGGGAGCGGGCGCCTGCCGCCTGGGAGCCACACATGGCCCCTGAACCGACATGACTGACCCAATCCTCTTTGCGAAGGGCTCTAAGCCGGCTTTCGTGAACCCTTCCAGGCTTTCCCACGGGCGGTTGTCCGCCAGCCAAGCGATCCTCCTGCTCCGAAGCTGACACAATCAAACAACAGGAATGTGAGATCTGACGCTGTACGCTATTAGAATTAGATGGACGGATGCAATGGCAGCTGTAGTGTCCTGGGAACCTAACCCTTCCTGCGATTTCTGCGTGCCGTCCCTAATTCTCCGAGGTATCTGAGATGCGGTGCAGTAGCAGCTACCCTACCCTTCTCCATACGGTTCTGTACGTGAGAGGATTATGGTTCATCCAGATGGTTTCATGCGCCACTGTCTTGCCTGTAGACGCCGTATTCCTGGTGCATTGTGGGCTCCGGATCGCTCGGGTGTCTGTGACACGACACGATTCCTGCTGTATGCTGATATGTGACCTAGCCTCACTTCTCACGTTCACGACCTCTAGTACGTTGACGTACTGGCGTATAAATAGTCTCTGTGTCCGCTAAACGGTAGCGGCTTGTCGTTGATCTTAACGTCCGTCCGTTTTGGGCAAAACTATCGGCCTGTGTTACTCGGTGACTTGGAGAGTGGCCTTAACTGCTGGCAACCGCAGTCAATACCGCTTGGTATTAAAAAGGTGCCCTTTTAATACTCTGCTCTTGTTACCCTTGAAGGTGATGTTGCTTCTTATGTTAATACAATCCGGTGAAGCATTTTGAGCCCAATATCTTGCATATGCCCCGTTGCGTCGCGCGAAAAGGGGGTGTCTGCACTGCTGCCTCGTGGTCAATTCAGTTTCCGCAACTAAATCTGCTGAGCTTCCAACGTCCTATCCGCCGACGCATGATGTTAATCCTAAGAAGCGACCTCCCTCTTCCTACTCGAGGGGGGGCGTTGTTCACTAGACAAGGCGGAAAGTCTTTCTTTCTGCCGGGCGCTGAGAGTTCTCCAACACGCAGCGATCCCTTCCGCCAGCAAGCGCAATACGTCGAGAAGTGCCATCGTCGTTAGGTCTTACCACGAGATAGACCTCCTTATGGTAAGCGGCGTTATTACGCACTATAAGCAGCAGCCACGCTTCTTTTCCCTCGATGTCTGCGTAGTCCTGATATTCGTCGAAAGCGCATTGGGTCCAGTTCTTCCAGTGATTAAACTTGACCCAGCTTTGTCCGACACTTGAGAATGTCGTTTGGATCCCCAGCGCTTCCAGGTCCAGTACAGCGCCACTGATGCGTCCGAACGGGTCGTTGTCTATTTGCTCCCAGTGAGCATTGCGTACGTGGACCTGTGGTTCGTAGAAGCGCTCCAGCTCAGATCCCGTGAAGCATTTCGGATTCCCGCTGCTGCCCCAAAATCGCACGTCATTGTAATCAATGGGGGCGCCGATTATGGACGCCCATGACCAGGTGGGTGCTACCTCTTTCAGCCTCGGAGGAAGGTCTCTGTCAAAAGTAGGCCCCGTCTGATCCCTCTTCCAGCAAAGTAGTAATGGTAACACGCCATCCAAATGCCTGCGCAATATCTGGATGCCCGGAGACCTGTTCCGGCGAAGGTTTTTGCAACCCCCGACAAGGCAGGAAGGACGTCAATAGGGTGAGTCAGCTTGCGGGAGAAATATTCCTCTACAACCTTAATCCAAACGTTCACTATTTCGCCCTCTCATCCGTCATCTGGCTGTTGCACCAAATTTGAGGGATTCGTTACCTCGGCAAGCCTCCGCTTGTCGAACAAATAGGAGCCTGGTCCCAGTGGTGGACCTGAGCCGGTCAAAGTATCCTCGCCGCATTCACACAGCACCCCCGTCATATACTCCCACACGATCTCGCCATTAGTGTAGTACACAGTCCGCCGGCTTAGGATGCGCTCTTGGAAGCACCACTTTCGTTTCGACAGCGGCCATGAGCCCCACGTTGGCCTGCCGACCAAAGTCTGGGCGAATTCATGGTCGACCCGAAGCCTTACGAGGAATTCCATGTTCAGCGATGGATCAGTGGGTACTCGGCGTTCTTGTCCCCTCTGGCGCTCGTAGAATAAGCCGCTATGGCCGTCTTCCGAGGATGCCGCAGCGATAGTAAGGCTTGCGTTGCCGTATATCGCGGCCATAGTGACTGCTTCGGCAGCCCAATCCTGTGGATCGTCCTCGACAATGCAGAGCGCATCTATCCAGATGTATTTGAAACCAAGCTGTCGAGTGATCAAAATCGCATCGCGAAACGTCCGTGACAAAACCTCGTCTGGGACTGTTTGCTTGTACAGCTCCAGAGTGGCTCGCGTCGTCTTGGGCACTGTTGCCGCGTCGCCCCAGCAATGGCTCAGGGCAATGTATGCGCAGCACTCTTCAGGCGCGCAAACGTACAGACGGTTACCGGGAACAGATGCGTCATCCGTCACCTCCAGCACACGCTTGGGCAATCTGGGTGTCTGTCGTCGCCGACAGCGGGGGTGTTCGCTGTTACAGGTCTCCATCCAAGACCGAACTCTTCTTAAGCAGATCTCGTGGTCGAGTTTCGGGGGCAATATGGGGTTGATAGAAATGGCCGCGCATGGACCTTGACTGCCTGTACAATTAATTGACTTAGAGACTGCCGAGTTTCGACAAGCGCAGTCCTTGCATACCTGGGCTACAAAATACTTCGAATGACACACATCTTTCTCGCCATTGCCAATATTGAGAACCGCGGTCCTTCCGTCTCCTTGGAATTCACGTCGCAGGTCACATGTTTCTCGCCGAAAGTCGGGCGGCCATGCGTTGATTTCGAATACTGCTCCTCCCGCGTCGTAAAGTAGCCTGCAGATACTGCACCCGTGAATGGCCTGGCTGCCTATATCAGAGTAAGCAGCAGAATACATATTTAGAGACGACTCCAGTCCCGTTTCTTTTATCGTCTGTAATCTGAACGGGTTGCACACTTCGCAGTAGTGGTCGTCAAGCAAGTACTTTGATGGTCGACATTGGAAGCTAGGTGACTCCATGGCCATGTTATGACGGACGCGAGATGGCAGCCAGATAGATTAGCAATCACAGCGAACCTCCCGCGAGTATTGTGCATCCAGGTCTTGAAGAAGTCACCGCGGGCCTTGAGGCTTGAGCTTCGTGAAGGTCTCAGGTTGGAAAAGGAGGCGGAAAGAGCCGCGTCCAGTCTCCAAGAGAGCAGCCCCGCCATGATATCATTCTCGGCGGCTTCGGCCTAACCCTGGCCGGGGCCACAACCCTAACCCTAATCCTAATACTAACCTCAGGCGATGAACATCCGTGGCGGGCTCGGTTTCTCACATACCTTGGGCTACGCTCTAGGATCTCCGGACCAAGTCCCGCATAATATTTCCTGCCGCGCCGTGTTGGTCAGTTCCCAAGTGATACTACCGATACTACATGAAGAAAAACTCCGTCGGAGTTGATGGCCTGGCTTGGCAGGGGATCCCAACTGCTGAGCTGCATAACGTCACGTGGTTCCCAACAAGGGCGTCTATTGCTTGCCCCGTGTATAAAATATGATCGATTAGATAAACTCAAATGCATGGTCCAGTATGGCAGCCGGGTCTTCGACGTAGTAAGTTGCCTCAATTGGGCAGGTATGGTCACAAAAGGGGTTCCTGGCTTGACTACCCAGCTGGGATGCCACTGATCTATCCTCCGATGCCAACTTCTGTGCTTTCAAACTCAGTTGAAGTTGAGACGACACTTTCCCTGCCCATGACGAAGCAACAGGATGTTCGCCCATCTCCCTCGTCGCATTCGCGACAAGTGGTACCCCGAGCCGATGCCCCCAGCTGGTAGCTTTGAAGGCCAGACAGTGCTAGTTACAGGTGCAACGAGTGGCCTTGGTCTAGCAGCTGCCACGCATTTCGTAGCTCTAGGTGCCAATGTCATTGTGACGGCTCGCAACAAGACTGGCGGCGAAATTGCCCAGCGGAAGATCATGGCCAGTGCTGGTGCTACGAACCATGCAAAGGTGAAGGTCATGGAGTTGGACATGAGTCGCTACTCCTCATGTATGGATTTCTTCAACGAGCTGAAAGAGCATCGATCTGGAGAAGGGGGTCTTGACTGTGCGGTGTTGAATGCTGGCTGCATCAACCGTCACTTCACGGAAAGCCCCGAGGGAAGGTAAGTGCAGAATGTTCTCGCCAGATGTGAAGAAGCTCATGGACCTCTAGAGAGCAGACAATCCAGGTGAATGCCTTGAGCACGACGCTCTTGGGGCTCCTCATCTCGAAGTGGATGAAACAGGAGAGACCCAACCGAATAACGCCAGCTCATCTTGTTTTCATCAGCTCTCGATCTCACATCGCGCCTGACTTCATGAAGTGGCCAGGATACTCGAATAATGGGGGTCTATTGAACCGTCTCTGCGCTGAGGAGAACTTCCCTCTGGATGTCGAGAACCCTAACTATCCTAACAGCAAGCTGTTGTTGATGTACAACATCGAGGAGATGTCCAAGCAGGCTCTAGGGCAGGACGGAACGTGAGTACCTTCGAATGCCACCTACATACAAGTACCTACTGACACACCCCAGACCACAAGTGATTGTAAACTCAGTCTGCCCGGGTATCGTCTACACGGATATCGCGAGTCCAAAGGCCCACGAGCCCCTGTTAAGGCAACTAGTTGTCCGCTTGTTCATGACTTTGATTGGAAAGAAACCAGAGTATGGCGCGCGATTCTATGTAAAAGCGGCGCTGAAAACCCCCGAAGAGCATGTGAGTATCAGGAGGGTCATGTGGTTGCACATACTTTGTCCGCTGACACAGATATAGGGCACGTTCGTGGAGTCACTAGACACTGAAGAGGGGTACCGCGAGTAAGAGGTCTGTCCCTTTCCATGGACTCCTCCCACGCTAACGAGCGAGTCAAGTATTGTGTACGCCAGATTCCGAAGCGAAATTGGGAAGGAGGTACAATGTATGGTATGGAGGGAAACGATTGAGGAGCTAAGGTTTAAGGTCTCTGGCCTAGAGGCTACGTTGCAGGAGTTGGAGCAGCACTAGATACGTCACCTGATTCCTATTGCATAATCCCCGACACTATCGACTTTTTCTGGCATGTTTGAAAATGTGGTCTTGTCAGAAAAGGGGCAGTTAGTAGACAAAGTGTCAATAAAAAAACAAGCACGACACCACCCGACTTATCTTGGTAAGTACAATTGCTCAGAACGACTATCTACTAAAGCACCGCTCGAAAGAAGGTGCGAGGCCGGGCTATGTCTCCTGATCTTCGTCGAATAAAGCCATGATATTCGACTGATTGGTCCCACTCACAGTGTTGCAGACACCGCTATCGAAACATGCCTCCATGTTATGAGATATATTTGTCTCCGTAGCCTTGTCCAGCACAAACCCACAGCCCGTTCTTCTGGGTCCTGTCTCGCATCTGGCCGGGTTGAGAAACGAAGCGAACTGCCACCGTCTGCAGCCATGCTCAGCATCATGCTCTATGTTGCACAGAAAGAAGGCCAAAAGGTTGCATATCTGCTGTATTGGTGTTGTTGTTGTTGAAGGTCTGGAGGTGGTGCGCAGCTGCAGTGGATGTGGGCAAAATGCCAGCCCAAGTGGGTCACGTGACCACGCAACACTCTATCATGTATCCGCCTCGACTCAGTACATCTGGAAGGTCATAGATGTCCTCGTCAAAGTAAGGGAATAAGCTTAATTTAGGTATAGTAGCTAAAGATCCTCAACTATATAATCTTAAACCTTTTTCCCCAATATACTGTATAACCTACACACAACTACAGCATAACATCTCACCCCCCCCTGCGGACCACCCCCCCACGGACCACTCCACACCACACCACTCTTATTCAGATGAAGCCATCTACAACCACCACAGTTGCTAAATACACTAAGGTCGTGGTGTTCTAACCATAATACAGCTCCCAGAATCCGATTCCGACCCTAAATCTTCACCAGGGACCTCTTGTGGGACCTCTTCGCCTGCAGCGGAGTCCCTATAGACCCTCCTGTTTCTCAGCTCCATTTTGGCCTCCCTTATATTAGCCATTGTGACGAATCATTCCCCTGGTGTTGGTTTGACTGCTTTTCGAGTGGTATTAGCCTTTTTAGTCACTTGAGCCTCAAGTAGCTCATATTTGGCCCGTAGATTTGCAATGGTAGCAGCCTGAACATTCATGGCCTTGCCAGCCTTCTGTACCAACAAGCGCTCAGAGGGCCCCCCAAAGGAAGGGTCCTTTCTTTCGAGTTTTTGAGCACTCTCCTGCAAAGCCCGGCTTCCAGAGGGTGTTGTGACAATGGTTTTAGCTACCATCTCGAGAAAATCTGGTGTTATGGCTCGCTCGGAAGCCTTAGGGTCCCTCTGGCGTGCCCTGGCTACCCCCTTGTCCTCTAGAATCACATATTTCAACTTCAACGCCTCCGCTCTATTGCGAGGAACAATCCCAGTCTTTTTCCAGGCAATTCTGATGTTGAGGAGCGTCATTGTGTCCTTCCGGGCCTGCTCGTAGCACTCCAAAACCTCCTCCTTAGATGGCCTGAGTCCCAGACGGCCGCTGGGCGTCTCCTGGAGTAAGGTCTTCAACCTCTTCTTCACCAAATTGAAGACTCCCACATCTAACACCTGGACTACATGGGAGCAGTGAGGTTCATAAAAGATCAACCATACTTTGTTTCTTAAGCAGGTGGCTAGGAACTCGTCATTCGTGTGAGAGTCGTGGCTATCACACACCAAAACCACCCATGTGTTGCCGTGGACCTCCCGAATGTGAGGAATAAAGATATGTTGAAACCATTCTAACGCAATGGGATTCGAGGTCCATCCATTGGGCGACGTAATAAACCTCCAGTCGGTGAATTTGTCCTCGTTTTGGTTGCTAAATTACTGGGCTTGTACGTTAATTCCCTTGAGAATCACCAGTGGCAGCAAGGTCTCACCAGATCCGCTCACACACTCTAGGGCAGTTATCTATTCACCCTTCTCGACCCCTTTCTTTATAGCCACGTTGCCAGAGGCCTCGGAGACCACCCAATGGGAGTCCCCAACCCCCTGGGCGATTCCCATTTTGTCGACATTGTACCAGCGTGCTGGCATGAGGTTAACCACGTCAGGGGCGTCACACCGATCGAAAAAAATGTTGATATTTGCCGCTGTAGCACCATTCACTCGGTTGTAGTCAATAACACGAGACTTCATTATCTTGACTTCCGGGTTTTGAGACAGGAACTTGGATGCCCAATTTTTTCCTAATTCTCGAGCATCCCCGGTGGCATGGAGCATCCGCTGGGCTATGAGACGGAACTTAGAGACCGCCGGAAAATACCCTAGCCGTGCTTGCCCCAGGGCCCAGCTTGCCAGCTTATGTTCGAGATACGGTGAGAGAGCCTGTTGGAGAGCGCTGGTCTCATTCCGCGTTGGGGTGCCAGAGATTCGTCGGTTGACGTACGAGCGACTGATTTGCCATTCAAGAGCTGACGAGCGGACTGGAGCTCCGCGTTGGATGGCCAAAATGGCGGCTTCAGCTTTTATTTGACAGTCGTAAAATGACATCATGAGATTCAGCAGTGGATAAGGATTCAAATAGTGTGCTTTATAAAAAAAAAGATGCAAAAGTGATGGTGTAGATGGTGGATCACCATAATCCTGGTGGTTGGTGAATTACGCGTTTGTGGGTCAGAACGCGCTGGTCCGCGGGGGGGTGGTCCGCAGGGGGGTGGGAGATGTTAACCTGTTGTGGAAATCAGGGGTCAAGGTGGTCGGGAATGGGATGATGATTGGTCTGTGTCTCATCTATGGTTCCGTGCGGGCTAGTCCCACCTAAATACAGCTGTGGGATGCCTTTGGCTCCCGGCTGCCTGACACCAGACAAGGGATTTGCCAGGCAACACCCAAGTGGTCACCATAATGGACCCTTTCATCCCGTTCAGCTGCCAAAGGCTGGAGCCCACACCTGACAGGCACCACAATTCTCACACCCGTTATAATATTACAATTCACTTTTCACAATCATTGCCTTCATAGCCCGCTTTCTCTTTTTTTTCTGGCAAGTCGGCGGCGGTGGGGGCGCAGGGCAATCGTCGGGACCTTCGGGACCGTCGATGGTCTGATCAGGTTGACGTTTGGGACCGTACATGGTCTGTTCAGGACTGTCGGTACCATTGACGGTCTGACCAGGAGGTACAACTACTGGCAGCTGGGCTTGCTGGTCCGTTAGCGACTGGATCTCGACTGATGACAGGCCTGGGTGAGGAGGCGGATCGTTTGCTGATCTGCATTCACATCCTTTGTACCGCCCCCCTCGATAGGACAGCTACTATGTGTCAGCTTTGTAAGTTCTGCTTGGAGGTCTGGGGCTTGAGTTTACCCCGTCACAAATCCCCCACTCTGCGCTGTCCGTGCCGCATTCGTGGCAGTCCAGGGTATTGGGACCATCAGGACACGCCTCAGTAGTACAGTCGCAACCAGTTTAATCCCCACTGGTGCACTTGCCATCAGCCCATTTGCACTCGTTGCAAAAGAGCCCCGCATCGGTACACTTGTCTTTCTCGCACGCGCACCCAAACAAGGGGCCCGTCAGACCACAAAAATCGAGAGTCCCTTGGCAGTCAGGGCGTGCACAGGTCGGGGGAATCTCCGGGCGGCCGCTATCGTCTACGCCTCCATCGGGAAACTCTTTGAATATCCAGTGGGTTTCGGCAAAGTTGAGGAGTACCCAGGTAGCCCCGCCCGCCAACATGACCCCAACTGCGGTGTCAGCCTGCTGGGTACCATCGGTTCCGTTGTAGGTTGTGGTCGTCGTGATAGTGAGGCGCTGTCGCAAGTCCGTGTATTGGGTTAACGTCTGTAGTTCGGACTCTCCGCTCACGACAGCGCAATCCGTCAGCGTTGTCACTAGGGTCGTGCGGGACAAACTAGCGACGTTGTCGGGGTCATCTCGAACAAAGACCAACGGGCCTTGTGTAGTAATCGCAGCCACCGACGTAGTCGGGCTTGTAGCCGAGGCCGTGGGTTGTGGTAATGTCTGGCCCTTGACCATTTTGGCTGCTGGGCCTAGGAGGGCCAAGAGGCATGGTAGGATCATCTTCATCATCTCTTGGGTGCAGGTTACCGATGTATCGCAATGAAGAACGTGGGTTTCCGGTGTATGTTGTTGGCCAGAAAGGTGATACCTCTGGTCGAGAACCTGTCTTAAATATTTGTGACTTCTCAGTAGATCTTTGGTTCATGACTCTGTGAATGGGTTCCCGAGAAGCATTGAACTACTGGGAGTGTACACTTTGCGGACTGCTATAGTGGGTATTGTTACAGAAACAGTGAGACAGGACCTCATATGAAGCTGTCCCATTGATATAATTTACCGGCCTCATTGAATCTCGTAACCTCATTCGTTACGCTGTCTACGGTACCGTTGTCAGTGTATGCAAATTGTAGCGGCCTTTGAGGAAATATGTGATTATGGCGCTTACGGCATATTCTACTTAATCCTTCGAACTTTCCTTCATCTCGACAAATCCCTGTATCTATCCGCACCTACCAAACCACCCACCCATCCTTTTCGGTACGCACCAACGCTACACAGTACCAAGATGATGGCAAAGTTCAGGATCTTGGTCTTCTTGACCATGCTTGCAGCGGCTGTTGTTGGCTACCCCACGGACAAGACGGAACCCATGAACATGACACGGCCCATGAACATGACGCGGCAGTTCCCAGCACCCAACGCGGCCAGCCGTACTAGTTCTCTGCTGGTTCTTCCCCAGAAGGTGACGACTCCCTATCACTATTGGATCGATCCAACTTGTGTGAACATGATCGGGTTTCCGGAGACATTCTACGAGGCTAGAGAAATGGCCTGTGCAGCAAAACGAAGGCTCGCCAGCAAAACCGACAGAGATTTCGAGCGAGTATTCGAGTATGTCTTCAACGCACCAAAGAACGATGGCACCAAGTACCAGAAGACCGACCGGTGGAAGAAGCGAAACAGGAGTGGCGCAGGAAAGGTGCCACTCAGCCATGTGAACTGTAAGGTCTGATCTACATCCTGTTGACGTTGACTTAGCTAAAGCCGCGAAGATATATTTCCCGGCCTGTGCGACGACTGGTCGGAGACATACACACTCGACAACGCGCATTTGCCGTTCATTTGTGACAATGGTCAGTTTTCCTGGAGTGACAGAACCTTCCCGGAAGTGGAAAAGAAAGCCACTCGGACCAAACCCCCTTTCTCTCTGCTTTGACTCACTCTCTCTGTGCAGGCGCCCACTTTAACACCCCGATTGGGATCGCTAATGAGTACGATGACCTGGTGCATGGGATTCAGGGAGGGAAGTACTACGACCCCCCACAGACAGGGCCAAGTAAGTTGTTATTCTGCACTGTTGCAGCAAAAATACCTTCAAGGACAGGCTGACTGAAAAACAGCAGCGTACACATCCTGTGGAACCATCAAGGGTAATCAATACGACGGACAGCAACAGGACCGATGCGTGGTGACTGTCTGCGACAAGGTTTACTTGAACCCTCCCCAGGGATCCATGGGATGGGCTCGGACGTTGTCCGCGTTCCAACAACGAAACTCAGACCGTATGTTTGGACTTTCACCATAGCTTTCCAACCTTGGGTGGGATCGTTCCCAGATAGACATGTCTGCTAACCGAGAAACCAACGAACAGTCTCGAATGTCCAAGTCCAGATGTTCCTCGGCTGGTTTCCCTCCACTACTATTCTACACGAGGTACGCGTTTTTCAAAGCCTCACAAGCGTATCTGCCTGGGGTGCACTAGCTAACCTACCCGTAGTGGATGCACTCGTATCCGTATCTTCTGGATGACAGAGGCGTTGGCGGCGATCCACTCAAAGCATACGGCTGGGATAACATCATAGTTAAACAGCCGGCAGAATCGCTACTCAACGCCGAGAACTACGCTTTTCTCGGGCTGTGGGCCTCGCTCGCAGATATACGTCGCCCGGATCCGCAGCAACCAGCCCAGCCACCGAGCGGGGGCTATACACTTCGCCGGCCAGACCCAGCTCAGCAAGCAGCGGTAGAGCAAAGCAACCGTGAAGGTAGACTGGTGCCTTATGTAGACATAACATCGTAGATGTTGCGTGGTCACGTAACCCACTTGGGTTGGCATATTGCCCACATCCACTGCAGCTGCGCACCACCTCCAGAGCACAACAACAACAACAACAACACCAATACAGCAGATATACAACCTTTTGGCCTTCTTGCTGTGCAACAGTAGACATCGATGGTGTATAGTAGTAATCTCGTTAGCAAATGGAGACATTAACCAGCGTAATGCGTTCGGGACAGTCACTATGCAGTATGTGAACACTCGCGCCACTCAGCCAGATGTGCAGTTGGTCCGACTGACTGACACACGAGGCGGTTCCGTTCTCCGCTACAGTGCTGAACAGCGTCTTGGGGGCGCTACGAGAGAAACCCGATGAGAACTGCACGACACAGATCAAAGTGCCACGGAAGTGAACATTATAGGGGCCACATTGTACTCAGAAACTATCCACACGGATGACTGTGTACCCCAGGCCGACTTGGTATACATCAGGCAATAGAGTAATGAACCAACGACTATCGGACACTGAGCTGATGTAACGCGGCTCCTTGTTTCTGTGTCATACAACATCCAAAAGCAGACCTAAATTCAGTCAAGCAGCAAGTCGACATCAAACTCTCGGTCCGTCTTGAGCTGATACATCGGCAACGTAGCCTCTCCGCAGCTTCCCGTGCCCAACCCATGATGGTACCAATCCAACCTCACTATGTGGTCGTCCCGCCTCCTCTTGTGCAGCTCGTGCGGATGCGTACACTCGTCCACATCTTTGGTAGTATAGGGCATGACACTGAAGCTGGCCCCATCGTGGTCTCCAAACCGGGCCCTCAGCAGCCTACCTCTCTCGTCGCCGCCCCATCGGTTCCGGAGCTCAACCCATTGCACGTCCGTTCGGTTGCCGCTATCCTGGGGGAACTCGTACTCGAAAAACATGGCGTTGGCAGCCCAGCCCCACGTGTTCATCAGCTGCGATTGCTTCTTGTCGCGGTACGACTCGTTGGGGCCCCGGCCGAACCATTCCACGATCCTCAGGTTCTTCATGCCAAAGGTCAGGCCGAAGCGCGCGAAGGTCTCTGGCAGGAGCAGGCCACGAGGTTTGGCCTTAATGCGGATGCTGCAGTATTCTGCGGTGATTGTGTATGTCGTCACAGTATCAACGCTCCAAGCAAGCACTGGCGGTGCAACTCGGCTTTCAACGACGACCTCGCAGCCATCCGCTGTCTTAGTGGTCGTCATCTTGGTGAAATGGTTGCGGGTTTGGTGTACTCGCCCATCAACCCACTGCTTGCCGAAAGGTCCTCCACGGTCATTGTCGGTAAGAGCGCGATAGAAGTCGAGGGTGAAGGGCACGGTGATGAGGTTGATCTGCGGATTAGACGCGTGGGTGAGGTAGGATAGAGTGCCTCTACCAAGGTCAAATCCAAAAGTTGTGCCGTTGGAAATAGATGCAAAGAACATGTCGTCCTTGCGTCGTGGGATCGGCAATGCTTTGGGAGGAGCAATGACTGTCTTGAGCAGCGCAAAGGAAGGCGGCGGTGTGAGCTGAAGTTGGCCCCGCGCGACAACTCGTTGTGGTGACCATTTGAAGCCGGGCCGCGTGACGAAATTGAGCTGAAGCCAGGTATTGACAGCTAGAGTCTTCGGCATTCCACCAAGAACAATCCTTGCTCTTGTATGCGGCTTGACCCCTTTTGGGATGTGCAGCTCGCGCCCGATATGTTGTTGTCGGTCGGAGATGATCTCCCAGTAGCACTTCAGGTGATCCAAGGTCAGGAAATCATAACGATTGATGATCTCCACTTCACTGCCGAGAAAATCTAGCATCTGCACAGGCTCGATCGCCTTGCTATACTCGCTGAGTCCTGGTCCTGGAGAATGCCGAGAATCGCATAGTCCGTCCATGACGAAGTTGTAATCGTTCGGTTCATCGCCGAAATCCCCACCATACCCGAAGTACTCTTCACCATCTTTCGTCTCCGTGACCAGGCCATGATTGGCCCACTCCCACACGAACCCACCCATCAGTCGCGGATACTTGTAGAAAGCCTCGATGTACTCCTGAATGGCGCCTGGGCCGTTGCCCATGGCATGGATGTACTCGCACATGACGAATGGCTTCTTCCAGTCCGCCTCTTCGGCATGCTTGATCATCTGGTCAATAGGGGTATACATGCGGCTGTAGATATCTGCTGTCTGAGCATCCTGGTCGCCTTCGTAGTGGATGAGGCGGGTACTGTCGATCTTCTTGATCTCATCGTACATGGCCTGGTGATTTCTCCCATAGAAGGCTTCGTTGCCAAGCGACCTGCGTGTGTGTCAACATCTTATCCGTAAACCAAGACTCAAAATCCGATGAGATTGTACTCTCATACGTACCACATAATGACGCATGGCTGGTTCTTATCCCTCGCGACCATCTGGAGGGCCCGGTCAACGTATGCTTCCCTCCATTCGGGATTATCAGAAGTGAAGCTCGCGGGATCGGCACCCACTTCGCCAAAGCCGTGGCATTCAAGATCAGCTTCGTCAAGCACCCACAGACCTAATTCGTTGGCCAGATCGTATAATCTGGTGTCATTGATGTAATGGCAGGTGCGGACTGCGTTGATGTTGAATGACTTCATCACCTCGAGGTCTTGTCTGAGGGCATTGTATGGAACGGTTCTCCCAGATTTCGCGTTATGCTCATGACGATTGACTCCCCTAATTTTGATGGCGTTACCATTGACGCAAAACACCCCGTCAACAAGCTCAGCCCGGCGGAAGCCGACCTTTTGTGCGACGTACCCACCGCCGACGGAAAGCACTAAGGTGTAGAGGTACGGAGTTTCTGCTGTCCACTTCTCCGGGTTTTTGAGACGATACTCGGACGTGGAGGAGTCGCGCCGAGACGTATCGATATGCCCAGTTACGACGACTTCCCCTTCCATGTCCAGCAGCTTCACATGGACATCACCGGGTTTATTCAGTTTAACACTAAGCGTGAGACAGGCATCTTGATAATCATCATCCAAGATGGTCTGAACGTGAAAGTCCTCGAGGTGTAGGTCGGTGAATGAGTGCAGCCAGACGTCCCTGAATATCCCACTGAGCCACCACTGGTCCTAGAGACAGAGTTAGTTCTTTTCCGCTCGACAAACTCGGAGTTACTGACTTGGTCCTCGATGTAGCTCCCGTCGCATCGCTGGTAGACCTCGACACAGAGAGTGTTCTCGCCATCGATAATGAGGGCTGGGGACACGTCGAATTCGCTCGGGTTTCTTGAGCCTTGAGAATAGCCGATCTCGTGCCCGTTCACCCAGACAGTAAAGGCTGAGTCGACCCCTTCGAAACGAAGCCTGAACTGGTCCCCGCCTTTCAGATTGTCGGGCACCTGGAACTGTGTAATGTAGCGACCACACTCGTTATCGTCATATGGCACGTTTGGGGGATCAACTGGGAAGGGGTAGTTGACATTCGTATACTGCGGCCCCTTGCCGAAGCCCTGGCATTGCCACATGCCTGGTACTTCGATGAGTTTCCAATCGGTATGATCGAAACTAGGCTTGTAAAAGTCCCGAGGGCCCTTGAAGGGACCAATTGAGAGGTCAAAGCCCCAGGTCCCCGACAATAGCGCGGCCCTTGATTCGCTGACATCGCCGGCTAGGGCATGCTTTTCCGATTTGTACAGATGGAAGTGGCTTCGAGGTGGAAGTGTATTTCGATGAATGACCTTCAGATTGCTCCAGTCAGGCAGATGCTTGGGCCGCAACTCTGACAGGCCAGCCGGGGGTCTCCTTGAAGTCGAGGGGCTGGAGGAAACAGGCTCTGTAGTCTCTCCCGGGAGGCCAGTTGGACTCAGCAGGTGTAGGTCGACGTGAAGACGCGCATGAAGGCGAATCACCAGGTCCGTATCACTGATACCCACCAAGCCTTCGGACTGCTTCGAAGCCATTAGAAAGGGGGTGGGAGAGACAACGGGGGCGATTCCGCCAGACTAAAGATGTGAAACAAGTCGCCAAATATAAGCAGCTCTTGCAAAAGTCACAAGACGGTTGCCAGATGCTCTTGAAACAGCAGCAGATTATGGAGAACCAGGCCGGCGTGTTGCCATTGAAGGAGCGGAATGATAGGCACCCTTCAACCGGAGCAGTTGATTGTGTTCCTCAGACCCTCAACTTCATCGGAGATTGCAGACTTGCAAAAGAGATTGCAGAGATTATCAATCGCCTCGTCTTCGTCGGTGGGTAGTTTCTCAATAGGCTGCCGCTGTCTAGATCTCGTCCTCGTCTGGTCAATTGACGGTTTGCGACCTTCACTGATGCACAGTAAGTTCAAGTGCGGAGGCAAGGAGGTTGGGGCGGCAGGCGGCAGAGATTGCCGCTCGGAGATAGTGGCGGAGATAATGGGGACGTTTCGGCGCCGGCTGACAGTGGGGATTACCTGCACGCACCGGCCCGCCGTTTCTGCTTTCTCAACGACATCAACGTCTGCCCAATTTGTACTTCAGCATCATTCGTTGTCAGCATTGAAGGCTGTCAAGTTTTCAGGGTACAATTAGACTTCGCTGTCCATGGTGACGCCCATGTTCAGGAAATGGTCAAATGTTACGAAAGACTGACTTGTTGATCGTACCTAGGTGCAACGTACGGTACATGGCAATCTGATTCATTGTCACAGGTAATAGGTATTGTCTTGTTCGGGGTTAATTGGCTGGTACGCGGCAATTCCTTGCTGAGGCGTCTTGATTCCTCCATTCCCGTTCATCGTCCTTACATCTTCTGCAATCGATACCACTTCAGCATCAAGCTCTCGAGTCCCGTCATACTAGTTCTCAAGACTCCTCGTATCATGTTGCTCCCGGTCAGGGCCTATATCCAAGGCTGACTACGGTGTCATAGGGAACCTGGAGTAAGATAGCATGCTCTGTATTGAAGTCAGTTTCATCCAAGCTTAGTCTCCAAATACAAGTCAAACTGTCCAGAAGTTATGAGAGTCCGCGTCAGTATAGGTGACAGTAGACCCGCCAATGACTATCCTTGGTACAATTTGTCTGCCCTGTCGTTATTCTTTCCACTTTGTCACTTTCCACAAGAACATTCACCGGTCTATTTGGCCCTCGTCTTCTTCAATGCTGGACCGGACACAGTGGGAATTGCCAACTTCAATGGGGTGTAACAACGCCATTGTCACTGCGGCCTGTGATTGTAAACTGATGATTGCAGACTGCGATGTCAAACCACACAAGTAGAAAACCACCTTCGCATGCCCTCGGTATGATTCGTCACTTAATCGTTCATATTTAACATTCGATTATTCGGATTCGACTCCTTCTACTGAAGGGCTCTCTAGTGTAATCAAGCGCAAGTACCAAGCAAAGCAACAAAACATGGAGCCTCAACGTCTGCTGGTCTGGGGCCATTCAGCACCTCGAAGCTACATACGGCAAATATTCTGCTTCCCCTTCGTCGACGGCAAATCCAACGATGCCTATACCCACCTCAGAACCAGTCTGCGCAAAATTGCTTTGCAATATCCCTACTTGACGGAACATCTGAGATTGAAGGACGATCACCAAGCTAATGTCGTCTACTATTCCCCCAACGTGGATACACGCACCCATCGTCAATCCATTCCTTTCGAAACGCTCGACGCTATGGATAGCTTTCCCTGGACGTACCACCAGCTCAAGCGAGAAGAGTTCACACCGCGCGCTTTCTACGGAGATCTGTTCTGTCCTGCAGATGCGATCACGCACGAGGGCAAACCTGTTCCCGTGTTGCAACTTCGTGCAGTCCATATCACGGGCGGCTTGCTGCTCAGTATCTTCCTGCACCACTGTATTGCTGATGGCGACTGTAGTAGACTAGTACTCGAGGCAATCGCAGCCCACACCCGAGGGAATAGGGCCGCAAAGCTGCACACAGAGCTCAAGCTCAACATTCCTTGTCCACCAACAGCAGCGCTCGCACAGATCCGTCAAGCGAAATCCCGTTCCATGGACGAGATTGTCAATACATGCCCCGGATACGCCGTTTTACCGGCCGGGAACGCCGCCCCACGCTACATGCCACGGAATCGAGAAGGCAAGATCTTCGTCATCCGTCTCGAGAAACTCAAGCAACTGCAGAAGTCTCTCAGAGATGCCGACTCATCCAACACCGCCCCATCCACGCACGTCGCGAACTACTTCGGCTATGGAGTCACATACGCCATAGCCGTAGCTCCGCAAGCCAAGCTGAAAACCGCTCACGAGTTCCCAGAAGCAGAAGGCCTCCGAAACCTCGCTTCGACCATCTCGGCAGCCTTCAAAGATATCGACGAGGAATTCGTCTCCACCCGCACTGCGATGCTGGAGGCTTGCCCGGACCTGAAGCGGGTCGGCGTGATGATCGACGCCGGTCCCTGGGATCCTCACCACTACCACTACAACACCTGGCGGTTCTTCGGCGCGGACGCTGAGTGGGACGTACCTGGATTTCTCAGCTCCAAGCCCGACGCTATCAGACGTGGACAGTCGGACTGGACTTTCGGTGCCGCGAGTGTGATGCTGGCCAGGAAGGAGGCCGACGTTTGTTTGTTTGTTTGTTTTGTATTTAACGTGGGGGGTAGCTCCTCAGTAGTGCAGACCACGCCTCCCAGAGCCTCTGCATCGCAGGGTTGTGGAGGTCTCAAGAAAATAAGTACAGTCTGTCCCGCTCACGGGCCTATCCCCGTTGTTGCGGCGGTATGACCTTGGGGTCATCCATCTGGTCCTTCAAGAATAGCTATCTATCGGAGACAGATTGTTGAAAAGAACTTGCTCTTCTCCACGAATTTTGCCCATTCTGTGCTCCTCTCCCCTAAGTATTGTAAACAGGCTGTCCTAGGCGAGTACCTAGGCAACAACCGATTTTTTCCTAGTCTCTTACAAAAGAAAATATGTCGTGGGAAGGAGGCCGACGCTCTCGAGCTGCTGGTTACTCTTCCGACGGAGAGCATGGACGCTTTGTGCCGGGATGAATCCTGGATGCGATGGGTTGATCGAGTTGTAGGGTGAGGCCAAGGGAACTATTGACCGGATGTAGTTCTAGCATTTTAATTAACAGTTATCGCCCATAGGTGCTTACGATTGTATTGACTATTGATATGAGGTGATTTTGTTTCTTCATCGGACTAGTCTATCAGCAAGCCATTTATGGTAGTTGACCTTAAAGACCCCTAGATCAAACAGGAAGGCAAGACTTTTCCCAACAAAGCAACAAAATTGGAGGCCGCTGTCAACAAGTTCGACTCCAAGGCAGCCTCAAAGTTGGCGAGCGTGGATTTCCTTCTTAGTACATGCACACAACTTAGTCCAATCAGTATTCATCGTACCGTATGCATCAACCAAAAATCAACGTTCGATAAAGCATCCTGCGGAGCAATGTTCGCCTCCTCCAGAAGGTTCTCCAAATCCTCCGGAGATAGGAGAGGGTTGCGCTTCAGAAAGCCCTTGATGTACAGTGATGCTGGTGAGGTGTACCATACGCCCAAGTGCTTAGGACACCTGAAGGTTTCCATCTCTTCCTCCGTAATCGGCGCTGCCCCTCGGGGTCGCTGCACTTGGGACGTAGGGGACCACCCCCTTGGATTTGAACGCAGTACTTCCAGGGCATCCATCCACGTACTGCTCATGAGATAAACAGAGTCGAGGTTCAGCGCTATGAGGGGTGCATGGGATGATGGTTCGTGCAGCAACCGTTTGGCAAACAGAGCCAGGTCTTCGAGACGGAGCGGGATGCCATGCAAGGACATAAATTCCAATTTGGGCCAGTGTTGTTTAGAGATTAGAGCACCCAAATCTGTGGAGGGTATCACGTCGTCATTCGGTGGGACCTCGACGTCGAGAGTAATGTTGCGAAGAAGCGGGCTGCGCATAATCGTAGAAAGATATCTGACCACATATTCAACGATTCCTTCGTGTCTACCCCAACTAAGCGGGTAACGGGCCTGGCGTCAAAAAGAGCGAACATGCCGGAGCATTGGTAAGACGAGATCGAGGTTTTCCTCCTGTGCCTCTTGGGCTAGAAGCGGAAAGCTTCCAGGTGATGACACTCTGAGCTCAAGCGTGACGAGTGACGTGCCAGCTAGTTGGATTGCCAGCGGCAACTGGGCCAAAAGCTCGAGGGGAGGATGTCCCACATGATGGACTTGTTCTGTTGACTCGTACCACTCGTGTGGATATACCATCTCTTCTAGCTGCTTCTCCTCGTCTTTCATTTGTTCGATAAAATCGTGGTGATGTTGTTTCCCAAACTGTTTCCCATCCCGCATCTCCAGACCAACTGCAGTAGGCATTCTAGCCATAGCCGTGGCAACGGCTTGGGGAAATCCGCCATCTTGACAGAGCTTCTGCTGTGCCTCATATCGTTCTTGGTATATGTGATACGCTCTCTGAAGCAGACACAGTGCTTGGTGCCCTAGCTCTGTTCCTTCAGAGGGATCGTCCCAAAGACTTTGCCATAACTCATGCATTGTCGCCCCCGTCCCGATAGCAATCGCAAGTTCGCGTTCGGTATTTGCACCGAGGTCTTCCGTTCCGGGTTTGTCCCCTCTTGAGGTCGACCCCTCTGAGGGTCCTTTGGCACAGCCATACTTCTGCAAAGAGTTTGGCTACCTGGTAATTGATAAAGAGGCGGAAGTCATGTGCTAGGGGTTCGTCGTAGAAGTGCAGGATGACTCTCACGGCAAGAACGCCCTTGCTGATGGTTGGGTGGCGCGAAATCTGCTCAAGCCGTTCCAGGGAAACGGGTGTCATCTCGACCGGGACGAAGCGAATGAGAAGATGAGAACTGGTATCGCGAAATCGACGGCAGGTCAGACGCACGTTCTTGATTTCTGGAGAAGAACACATGTCGAGGCAATGTATCGGGGTATCTGCCGTTGCCTCGGTCTGCAAGTGACCAAATGCTTGCATGAGCAATTCGTCGGGCAAGTCCATGATGGAGAGCGGCCGGACCGAGCTGCGGGCTTGGATAGTGCTGCGAATGGAGTCTCGTATAGAAAGGACCTTTGTCAAGCGGCCCCGAAATGCCGGGATACTGGCGCGTCAGTTAACTATTTTGGCCTCATTGGAAGGCGCGCCTTCCTCGATAAAAGAGTCGGCCTTCTCAAGCAGGGATCTCAATTCCCGCTCAAACGAGTTGAGGTACATGACAGCGTGGTAAGGGCCACCCAGATCAAGACCCGGCTCTGAGGCCTCGTACCATCTCCATAGCTCTGATAGTTGACCATCGAGCGGGTGACCATCGAGATGGGCGTCCATGATGCCTGGGTCCATGGCTGCTGTGTGAAGGTTGGTGGTTTACCCAAGCTTCACGAGGTAGAAATCTAGAGCTGTGTTTGTGTGCGGGGCAGATCGTAAGAAGGTACATGGTACTCGCCTGCCTTGCATGTGAAGGGCTTAGCAGTGGCGTTATGCCAGCGTTTCACACAGGATGTGGCTGGGACGGGGGAACAGTGTAAATGACAGGTCGATTATAGGAGTGAAGAACTTTCTCACCGCTGCTCAGCTTTGGCTCAAGCACGTCCTTGACTCCAAGGGATCATCTGGAGACAGTACGTCAACTTCCCGCGCCTAGGATCCAATTAATTTCGGGACACCTCACGCGAGACTCGGCATACTACCTAGGTTCCGGCATCTCCAGAATCTTGCCTTGAAGGTCAGTGATCTCAAACCCGAGAGGGACGCAACGGACGTGTCCCAGATCTCTGCCGAGGCAAAGTTGCGTCCTGGACAGAGATGCTTTCCACCACCGAAAGGGGTTTACGCGCCTCTTGACGAGAGAATAGCTTGCCAGGTCTGATACGGTAGCGCCGGCTGCAGTCGGAAATGGTGGTGTCGGCTGTGACTCATCAGGTGATGGTGCCTATCGACACTGAACGCTGGTCCTCGCGGACGGCAGAGACGAGAAGTGGCACTCGCTCGGCGCGGTTCTTCGTGCCGAGGATCATGGGCCGGTCTTCGTCAAGGAGTGGTTTGCCTTTTTCAACCACTTGGATGACTTCGTTGAGCAGCTTGGACACGAGGTCGGAATCCAGCATCATCCACCCGTACAGTGTAAAAGTATGAGTGTAGATACACTACGGTATGGCTGGCACGGGTATATCATCGACGGTCTATCAACGTTTGGCCAAGGTCATCAGCCAAGGTGGCCGTCTCTTGCATGTACCTTGCCGTCATCGTACGTAGAGCCACCGGGCCCGGAGCTCAACCCCATGATGCATTGTGTCTTCGAGGATGGGACGTGGGCGGCCCCGTAGAATGTCTGGTCTTGGCCATTGGCAGGTTGCTGTTTGTAGTGACGGTCTGGGATGAAGAGACGGTGGGTGGACCGAGATGCATCGTTCCACTGAATGAATGACACATTCCAGACTCAATCTTGCTCGTCCACGGTACAGATGTGAAGTGAGTTGATAGTAAGATGTTAGATGATAGTTGCGCGCATGTCAACTCGCATCATGAGATGTTATGTGATGGCCGGCCAACGGCAGGGAAAAAATGCAAAATATAAGGGGGTACAACACACTGTCCATGATAACAACACATTCACACAGCCGGCAGTAACAAGTCATGAGCAAATATGTATTCGTTTTGTTCTTCGTGTCATCGGGGTCTCTTGGAACGTGCTCGTCAAAGTTGTTCTCTATCGCAAGTACACCCGATCGAGAAATTCGCCAGTAACTGGCGTCTATTGCCAAAGGAGAGATCAGCCTGCGAGGCTATTTCCTAGTCTCTCCACCATATGCGCCATTGAACCGTAGAACGCCGCCATTAAGGCCAATTGCAATCATAGGATCGTTCCAAATCTGCAGGCAAAGAAGGTTAGACTGGAATGGAGAGGAGGGACGGCAGATGAAAGTTTACCCAAATGTTTGCTTGATGCTTCGTACGTAGTACTGTTCCCAGTTTCTCTTGGTGACCTCCTCCTGGCCAACAGGAACACCACTCCATTCCACCCGCATAACCGTGACACCGTCAACGTCGTTCTGATCGAAGTTGATCACCTGCTTGGAGTAGTGACCAGCAGGCCACTGCTTCAGGCGCCACGACTGGACGATCTTCTTAGGCTCTTGGAGCTCCTGATATTCACCAGCAACGTTGCCATCGAACAGCTCAAACACGCCTCCCTTCTTCGCACCGTCGAATCTCTTCGGGGGAGCACGTGTAAACGCGGCCAGTCGTTGAGGATCGGTGAAGGTTTGGTAGAGCTCACTGGCGGTAGTTCGAAACTCTTCCTGGTCTGTGACTGTCGTTGTATTGACAACGCTGCTGCCATTCTTCTGGCTGCTGGAAGACTCGGCCTTCGCCTTCGCGGCAGCATTACCATTGGGTTCATGGTATTTGGGTGCACGCCAACCGCTGGAGGGATTCTCGCCGGCAGCGTGCTGGATGTCTTTTCCGTGCTCAGCGACCAAAGCTGGCATCAGTTTCAAGAACTCGCTTCGCAACTGCGGAACGATCTTGGCTCTGACAAGATCTTTCACAGGCTGCTTCTCCTTTGATTCCGAGTGGATGTCGATTTCAAACTACGGCGACATCAGAATCCCAGGGAACAAAGCAGAAATAGGCAGCGGGTTTACATACGACGAACTCGCCTTCCTCAGTGTCATGCGCTACCTCGGGAACCGTGATGGTACCCGAAACATCCTTTGCGCCGGGAGCACTTCCTACGGTAGGTTAGACTCGGGGCCAGCGACAACTAGCGCGCCCATTACTTACCAGAGTACTCTAGCACGAGCTTGACATCGAAGATAGTGATGACCTTTCCCTTTCTTTGGCTGACATCAACGTCGCCGTCCATGCTGGCAACTTTGGCGATCTTCGCATTAACTTCTCCATCTTCAGCCGAGATCGTGGTGAGGTTCTTGTCGAGCCACTGTTTAGCCCACTCTCCGGCATTCTTGCTGACCCAATGCCAGTTGTTAGGGTTGTGGAGAACCATGGTGACGACGAGGGAGAAGTAGAACGCAGAGTATTCAGTGAAGATGCTGCAAGACTCGGCAATGGTCAGCAAGCTGTCACACGGCGGATTGTGCAGATGTGATGTGCAGAACAGCGACGTGGGAAAAGATCAGATTAGGGTCTCAAGGACCACAGCATAATGGTCATCAAAGAAGGGAGTACAAGTAACTCTATGACTGGTGCCAGCTGGTGTATCATCATGGAAACGCGGGTAAGCAGGGTTTGTCAGACGCCATGCACAGAGATGCACAGCGCGAACAAACCCCAGGTTCAGAGGAAATTGAGGGAGATGGACATACCGGTGCGATGGCAGATGGACGGGACGAGACGAGACGGCGCAACTACTCGATGATCATCCGGTGAGCATGGTAGACGAGAGGAAGCAGTGTTGTCGGCATGGAAGGCTCGCGGCCAACAACGAGGTGAAGAATGTGATGAAAAGTGTGCAGCCGAAAGCTCTAGAAATTCGACACCTGGGAGGCTTAGCGCTGGTGGGGCAAGGTCACGGCGGGGTCGGGTCGGTGTAATTATCGGACCGACAGATTACCTAAGTGTCCAGCCGGCAAGGGTTTAATAAGATAAGAGCCGCGATACTCTGGAAGGGCCGGGGCTTGGAGGACAAATCCAAAATCTCTCCCATCTGCTATCTCCATCAGCTCGCCCTCGGTGTCTGGCTGTGACCATCTCATTCATGTCATACAATGTATATTTTCCTGCTCCTCTGCCTAAATCTGCTCGGCTTAGCTGGGAGTGTCATCACATTGCGTGTAGGTAGGCCTGGCGTAGGCCCAGCCCAATGCTCAACTCCAGAAGCAGGTCTATTCTCTCTGTCCGTTGTCGGCAAAGGTTACAGGGACGCCACCTGACCCAACCATGTCCCAGCCATCGGTGCGCTTGTTCTTGTTTCAGGGTCAATTGCAACTCACGATACAAGCAAGCAAATGCTTGAGCGTCTAACACTCCGCACTCGGACTGGAGGGCTTTTCTTCAGCTATCAGGCAATACATGCATACGCAGGCATGGATCATTTGCTCGAAAGATGCGTTGCTTCCTAGGGGTCCATCGCGACAGTGCCCACTCCGAATAACCCTTGTTGGGTGCCTAGCGGTGCAAGTGGCGGCGAGGAGTTGCCGTGAGGTTTCGCTCGGGGCGGACCATGACCCATCAACATTGGCCACCGCCATCTGCCAGTCAAGTCCCAGCAAGTCGAGTAACTGCAGCAAGGGATTCCCACGCGGTGTCTATTTCTGTCCCAGGAAGCTTGTTGTTCCTCGGGTATTCGGGTTCCTCACTTACGGCTTGAAGGACGGAGTTGCAGCCTGCAGGTGATGGCACTGTGTCGATCTCGGTCCCATCATGATCTCTGTTGGATGATCTGACCAGAAAGAGCACTTTCGACATCTCTGCGATATGCATGTCCACCCAAGAGAAGGTCGGTCGAACAACTATTATATAAGCGGCTTCATCACGTCCCGTTCTATTTTCATGACCCATGACAGCCGACAAAGTGACGATGCCGATGCTGCGGGACCTCCCAAACGCGGGGTCATCACCATACCCGTGTCACTGTGTGATCCAGCGTTGAGAAGTGTTGGTCGTCAGATCACTGGCCGTCCTTTTCCATATGGCCGGAAGACCCTCGACTGAAGGATTCGTAAGTCGAGGACTCATCAGCGATCCTGCGATCAACTAGTTGGTACACCCCTTATCAGGAAAATGGTTTCTGCGACATCAGCAGTCTTCTGGACTTCCGGGTCGATGCATACTTACCTACCAGAGTTTCCAAATACAGCCAGTTACAACGGACTCGCTCAGATACACGAATCCTCGATGTTAGGTACAGAGGGTAGCTTTGCAGCGGCCCGAGCGGAAAACACGTCTGACTGCAGGTGATCACTGCATTCAATGCTTGACGAGACCTACCAGGTGTGCCCGACAATAATGTTGCCGTCACCACTACTGCAGCTAGGTGTACGCCTTGAATCACGGAGTAAACACCAACCTATCACGCGTTTGGCTCAAGTGAGCATCTGGCGAGCCATTCACTCGCAGAGAGCAGCCATCTCGGCAAGAACTGCAGTGGCTGTCGTCGTGATTAGCATCTAGAGAGTGGGGGGCTGGTGGGCAGACCTCTAAGCGCCCGCAGAACGGATACCACGAGGGGCCAAAAAAGGACGACGAATAGGACGACGCGTGAGGTCTTAGAAGTCCAATTATAGACCAGGGCTCGCCGGTGGCCAGCCAATAGCCGACGACGACACGACCAACAGCCCACACCACACCCGGACCATCATGCACTTCCCCTTGGCACCCTGGGCAGCCCTGGCACCTTGGTTGCTGGCCGTGGTCGGATGGAGACCTGGGGGTGAATCAGCAGCAGCAGCAGTAGAAGAAGTCATTCAACACGGAGCAGCAACTCACAACCCTCGCGAGCGATCCTAACCCAAGGCTAACATCTACATGCTGCACTGGCGTTGTGTCGTGTTGTGCTATTGTGCGGGCTGCAGGTTGTCCCTGGCCCTAGGACCACTCGACCGGAAAGGGCAGGCCGTATCACACGAACCCTTTGGACGTTGGACACAGATGTCGACAGAGGTGAGATCTCATACGTCCACCGGAATTTACCACACGGCCCCCCGACCCTTTTTCGGACTGGCAAATGCAACAGTTTATGCAGGTCCATCCACAGTCAACCTAGTTCTGCCAATGCGACGTGAGCCCCTCGTCTATATCACAAGGTGATGGGTGCGACGGTACTGTATGCAGCTGTATCCAGTCGTTGTGTCCAGTTGTTGGCCTCCTTTCACTACCTCGCACACATAATTTCTTCAGCCGCCGAATCGAGCTGAACCTCCTGGCCTGTCTCGCCACATCCACACGATATCAAATCATGGGAGTGGTTGACGACAAGATTCCTTCTCTCCTCTTGCGCTGAAGTGAGAGGCAAACGTCTGGCCAAGCAAGGCATCGACCAAGGGTCAACAATTGCGACAGAAGCGTAAAGCTGCGATTGACTCCTCGGTTGTACTTCCCGCCACCACCAGGGAGTATCTCACGATCACCGCTGGTCGCCAGGAAGACGGCTGATGCAAGTGACGATGACCAGCGCTCGCGATACCACGTCGCAACTTCGTCAGACTCTCAATCCGTTGCTGACGACATCTCTGGGAGGCCACAACAATCACTCGCAGACGCCGCATTCCGCCGTATCCATTAGCTCATACCATACCTTTGGGCCCCTCACGCCGGCTAGTTCCGTACAGCCGTATAACCCGCAGGAATGGGCACCTTCCCCTGCGGTTGTTCCTGAGAGGACGCATCAGTTTACTCCGCCTTCGTCTCTTCGGGACACCCATGGTAAGTGAACAATGTCCTCTCCTGCGCTGTGATCGCCTCGTACATCAACAGCTAAGAGATCGAAAGCTCCGCCGCCATATTCGCCCCCTCGGAGTCAGAGGCCATCCAGTATAGTCTATGAGACACCGCCCGCAAACATATCGGCTGCGCGAGTACCTGCTTCGAGCATCCATCGACCCTCACCGGATCCCCAAAACAACCAGAGCTTTCCACCACCACCCGGTACTCCTGGGCGCGGGCCGTCGCGCGAGAGGCGCTTCGGTCTGCCTTCACTTACTAGGCGAAGGGAACGAGATCAAACCGAGTCCACGGTACTCCCTGACGCTCACCCTCCATTACCTAGAGCCAGGCCACAGACACTCATGATCCATGTGCCTCCTCAGGCCCCAGAAATAAGTAACGCCGATATACCAATTATACCTCCTACTGCGCGAAGAGCGGTTTCCGCCAGTGCCATCGAAACCCCAACGTCCGCTCGGTCTCGATCGATAACCCAGTCGAGATGGGGAACCGGCATGGCTCTTCCGCCCCCTCCTCCGGGCCCTCCACCTTCATCACAATCCAGATCTCAGAGCCTGAACCGGACGACCGATCCTGTTTTGTCTCCCCCCACAAGAAGGCCGCCTCCTGGCGGGGTGACTGCTCTTGGGCCTGTACCACCGACCCCAGCAGACTGGATCGATGATGAACCTCAAACCAGTGGCGGATCGCCTGAAAACCCTGGATTGACGATCGACACGACTAATACTGTCATTTCCCGTTCGCCAGCTGCCCCGGAGCCTTCTTCTGATTCAAGTCCCTCCAGTGGTGGGCTCAGTAGGAATGGGGCAGTTCGAGGCGAGAAAACACTGCGTGAAAGACGCAATGACAGCCGAACACGACATCAGAGAGCAGATTCAACGACAGATACCCAACATTTATCGAATATTGTAGTTCCTCAAGGTGCCAACTTGACCCGTCGGTTTTCTGTCCACCGAGGAACGCCAAGAAGCGGAGGGACGCCCAGAATTGGTGAAGACAACACGGACTCGAGGCATTCGACACCACGCCTGTCTGCTAGTCTCCACCCAGAGACGCCGACTCCTCTTTTTTCTCCCCACCCGCAGAAAGCACGCCCTGGTGTCGACTTAAGCCACTCCATAGCCCCAAGGGCGCTTCCCACTCCACCACCTCAAAGCCGATCAGCCTCGAGCTCCTCCAACATCCGGCACGACTTGTACAGCTCGATCAGCAGCCTTACTTCAGCGCCGACCTCCTGTCAGCCATTGACGAAACAAGCTGTCGTAAGCCAAACGGCTGAACAGTTTTGTCTCGCAAGTATCGAGCGCTATCAAGTGTTTGCCGGAAAAGAAGCCTCCGCAAAGTCGGATGCTGATCGGGTCAAACTATTTGCTGATTTCATCGTCAACGAGTCCAGACTAAGGCGTGAGAGGTATACATCGTCCATAGGAGCCATGGGCTCGGAAATATTTGACCTGACCCGCGATTTGTTCCGCCCGATGAAGGTACGGCGAGACTCGTCTACCTCGCAGTGCAGCGAGTGGACGCCCCAGATGTCCGAGACGAAATCCCACAGAAATTCCTTGACCTCGGTGTTTCGCGACCAGATACAATCGAATTCAGCGCCAGCGTCTGCCAACTTGCCACCGGACTCCCCCGTTAGTGGCTCGGCCAACGGGAACTGGACTTCAAATCAGTATATGCCCTCGCTATCACCGATCCTCAGTATGAGCGTGAGTGAAGCGCTAGATGGAACAAGTTCTCGAGGCAGGCCAGCAAGTCGATGGTGGGAGGCAGAGTCGGCCGGCGAGTCTTCCCGACTAGAGAGGACGAAACGCGAATCGAAGTACATGGGTGTGCCCAAGGAAGCAAGAGAGGCATTACAATGGCAGGACACACCTGGGAGCTCAGACAGCCACGCAGGCCCGAGCGACTGTTATTCTGGGAACGAATACCCTCCCGAGAAGACGGGATGGCACGAGTCAGAGCACTCAAACACACCTCAACCATTCCGTCAATCGCTTATATCCCCCTTTGCCTCATCCGCACCAAACACGCCAAGTCCATCGCATCTCGACATTTCACGTCTAGTGACATTGCCGCCACCATACCCGCGTCACCATCCCGCCGTAAACAACAACCATCCAGAGCTGACAGAAATACGCATCCTCGTCAGGTCTGTCAGTGACGTGACCGAAGTACAGGCCACAAAGGAGCGCTTTGCCCAGGAGACTCAGAAGGCGCGTCACGACGCAGCGCAAGCAGCCTCTTCAAGACGGCAGTCTCTTCGCAAGAACCTGCAACAGGAAATCAGCTCGGGGAACATGTCTTATGCCGAAGCGGGAGCTATCGAGGCCGATAGTCAAGAAACGGAAAAGGCGCAAGCTAAGGAGCTAGAAAGAAAGGAGTTCGAACGTTTCCAAAACGTGGTGATTATGCCACTCAATGAACAGCTCACCGGTCGCATTGCCCAGGCAACGTCGCTCTTCGACGAGCTGCGATCGCGGCTGTTTGTGGAAACACAAGCTCCGAACCCGAACATGCCTCAAGAGGAAGGAGACGAGCAGCCCGAGCTCCTCGAGAAACTAACTCTCCTCAAATGGATTTTCGAAGCGCGTGAGATGCTGCACCGCGAGATCTACGATCTCCTGAGCGACCGGAATGATCGCTACAAGGAGATGGTAATCACTCCGTACCGACTTTCTGGCAACGAAGACAAGCTGCAAAACGCCGAAGCCTTCTTCGCCGAGGACGCCAGCAAGCGACGCGCGGCCTTCACCAACGAAGTTCTACAGCGCACTCGAGAATTCCGTGGTGTCGTGGAGGAGAACGCGATCCGCGGTGTCGACATGCAGCTCAATGCGTTCTGGGACATCGCTCCACCGCTGAAGAGGCTGCTTGACAAGATACCGGCCTCGCTCGACAACTTTCGCATTCAAATCCCGCCCTCCGAGTTCGATGAGAACCCCGTCTACCACAAGCACCCTCTGCAGTACCTCTACAGCCTACTGATGCACGCAGAAAAGAGCACGTACCAATTCATCGAGTCGCAGACTAACCTACTGTGCCTGCTGCACGAGGTCAAGGAGGCAGTCATGGGCGCACGCGCAAAGGTCAGCGAGGCCGAGGGACGCGATCCCCATACCGTCGAGGAGGAGCGCAAGGGCGAGCAGCACATGCTCACAGATGATCTCAAAGAGAAGGTCCGCGTCGTGCAGGACCAGTGGGAGAGCGCGATCGGCGATGGGATGAGGGGCGTCAAGGAGAGGGTCGGCGAGTGGCTACTGTCGACTGGAGGCTGGGATGAGAGCCTAGAGGATCGCGGTGTCGGCGGATCCTAGACTTATGTTCGGAATACCGTGGCTATAGAAGCCGAACACGGTGCTGATGTGCCTCAAGGCCATTTGGTCTATCTGTTTTGGTGATACCCCTTTCAGTTCATAACGATCATGAGCTTATCTTTTAGAAACTGTGTATATAGCAAGTCCTCGCAAGAAGGAACTACCGAAGTTGGGATGATCGGATCAAATTGACGGTGTAGTGGCTGCGGTTGAATCGGTCTTGCTATGGGCAAGGGGTAGAATCAGCTGCCTTGATGAGATAAAAGAAACATTCTCTGTCAGAACGTATGGTTATTGTGAGATTCACAAGTCTGGTTCGCCAGGAATACAGTGTTGAAAACTTGGATTCTCATGAGAAGGAACACATGCGGTGCTCTCTAACCCGCAGGAAGCCCCAAGTGCATCATCAGGACGGGAATGCCTCGAAGCCGATTGACGTGGCCGCAAAAGTACTCACGTTACGTTTCGCACTTGTACGTTTATGGGCCGCGATTTCGTATGGGAACTTGTCCGAGTCAACGCATACTCGGGATGACAAACCACAAAAAACAACAAAGAACATGGCTTTTTGGTCTTCCAATCCTGGCTCTATACCATGTCTTTGTATGGTATGTTCCTTTCACGGCCAAAACAATACGATTGTTTTCGAGCGACTCCTCTCATTACAATAGCATTGCTATATAACCACTGGCTCTCACGTCGAGAATTTGGCATGTCATCACTCTACAACCACACACACCCACCAACCAAGATAAGACGAATCGATTTACCTTTCCGCTAACATTTCCTATACAGAACCCAGCGCAATGGCTACATCAACTTCATTTGCTTGCGGGCACCCAGCCCTCTGCCAAAGCTTCCCAAAGGTCATGGAAGCCATCAGAGAGACCAACATCTTCCACGACCTCCAGACAGGTAACAAAGCCCTCCACTTCCCCACCGTCACATGCCCAGAGTGCCGTCTAGAGCACGACGAGACCTCCGACGTCCAGCTCGCCATAGCCATCCGCAGCTTCCGTCTGCGCTCAGCAAAGCACATGGCCGAGATGCTGTACCTCTTCACCGAGCTGGCGGACGAGGTCCACTCGTCAGACAGCGTCGAAGACGACAAGAAACTCTGCAGTCGTATCTATGACTGGGTCCATGTCATTTGCCCGCTCATGACTAGGAACCAGTACGACGGCCGTTTTTGTCGGTCGTGGCGAAGCTCTTCGGGTTTCGGTTTTTGTACACGGTCACGGAAGCCGCTGTTGACCACTTCCACGCCACACCAGTATCGTCTCTTGACTGCGCGAAAATGCTGTGGACTATACTTCAGGACCTGCCATTGAAAAGTCGGGCACCTCGAGCCAGGGGCTTCAAAGCAAAGTCGACCCTATCAGCGCCAGGCTGAGGGCCGGATGCGACGTGTTTCTCACACCGGGCGTCTTGCAGCTCGAGCAGGACGATACTCCTCGGGATCTGTTGGACCCGGTCAGGCTGGCGATTATTGAATCTCTAAAGACAGGCCTAGAACGGAGGCTTGACAGGGCTTACCGCCTCTTGGGCGAGATTGATATTGAGATGGTCCGTATCCGAGGGTTTGGGGCCGTTGACGGCGACGACGACGCTGTGGACAGACAGAGGCGAGTGGTTCGTGCGACTGCGGCTCTTGTATCTAAGTTCTGGGCTGCTTGTCAGACTGTCCGCAGTCAGACGCTGGTCTTGCAACACTTTCGGGGAGACTGAACCAGAAGGAGCTAGATTTGAAGTTGTGTCCGTCTATCTGTAAGTGTCCACCTGGAATAATCTATTAAGAGCAATACTATTTGAAAGCAGTCTATTATATAAGACTTATTCTTTGATTTTGACAACGTGTATTGTTCCCGTTGTTATATGATGCTGTCCTGATTTCTGAGCTTCACCAGCCGAGGCCTTTCGCGAGCTTGATGACAGTTCATCGCACAGCCCCCTCAATCTCCGAGCAGCTCGCACCAACGGGATTCAAGCGCAGTGGCAGTGCTGAGGTGACGAGCGATGCCCTTCGCGGTCGCTTTTGCACCCGATTTACCAAGAAAGAAATAGTGATTGCCAGTAACGGGCGCAGAAAGTGTTCCCGGCGCAGACTCAACGAAGAGCCTGATATTCATCCATCGGAAGGAGTCTGTCGGTATAGAGCGAGCTTTCTTTTCGAAGTCGAGGGTCAGTCGTTGAGTCATCAGGAATGCCCAAGTCGCTTTGTCGGACAGAACGTGGCGCGCATCCAGCTGACTTGTTGGTGTCAATGAAGAGATCCATGGCAGAGACCCAACGTTGTGGGCTTCTGCATCTCTCACAGAATCTCCTCCATCGTCGGCAAACTCACTCATGCCGTCGAACCTATAACCCCATCCGAGGAGGCTCACTGGAGTGTGGCCAAAGTACTCGCTCCGATAGACTCCTTCCGGAGTGATACATTTATCGTGGTTGAGCTGTTGCTGCTCACGAATCTGGGCCGTGAACAAGCCCAGCATCGCAGGGAAGGTAGCATACCCGGACGGCGTGCTTCTCAAGCCTGGAGGTACAGGCCTTATTCCTGCGAGTCCTGGGGTCGCCGCGAGCGAGACAAATAGCTTGACATTGAGCCCAAGGCCGCGTGCAAGCTTGCAATACGGCACGAGTAGTCTTCCGCCCATACTCCAACACACAAGCACTATATCTCCACACAGGCTGTTCGCATCAACCACCGCCTTAGTAACTTCGGCTGCCTGTTTACCCCATTGGTGGATGCGGAAGGCAGGAGCCACTGGTGGCATGAGTTCAGGCTCGCTTTGGAGTGGATATGAGATCCCGAGCACACCGAAGCCGTCCTTAACAAGCCAAGAAGCCAGAAAGTCATCCGAGTCGTACCCTCGATGACCACCATAGAAGATTCGTGCATTGTGGGCACCTCCAGGAATGAGGACAATCAGAGGCTTCTTCTTGTCCGCCGGAAAGAACCTGTAGATGCACGGTGCGTCGGCGATATGAATAAGGCCCTCGCCAGGATACAGCCCTGGAGGGCTAAGCGTCGACATGTGCTCCGCCTTCAGGACCGTTGGTTCGATGGAGGTGATTGCAGGCCGGCTGATCATGAAGCAGCCTAATCGTGTGACATACAGTCCAGGATGTCAACCTCGGGATGCCTATGTTGCAACTTTAATGTCGTGCGAGTGGCTCCGGAGTCTTCTCAGCCGAGGACCGCCTCGGTCGGGGGAATGCATGTAAGCTACCCCTCAGTTCTTTCCTCGTCACGCTTCTGCCAGCGTCATGGTCTAACAGGGAGTCTTACGGCAGTAAACGATCTCGAGAACGATACCAGAGGCTGCAGCACTGGTACGCTCAAAAACCGCCCCCGTTCTCTACACCACCGGTCAGCTTCCTGGATTGGAAGTCACACACTTAATCGTCACTCTGAGTAACGCAAACAACTTGCCACCTCTCACCATGTCGACACAATATGACGCGATTGGCCAGAAATACAAGTCCATGTCAGACTTGCCGTCTCAAGCACCAGAAAAGCCGAGTGTCCTGAACGTCCTTGGCGATGTCGAAGGACTCAATTGCCTGGATCTCGCTTGTGGATTGGGCCGCTGGTCTCACACTCTCCTAGAGCAAGGCGCAGCACATGTGACCGGAATTGACATATCAGCGGGTATGATCGATTCGGCGAGAGCATCGCTCAGAGACCTTCCAGAATCGCAAAGAGCGAAGGTCGACTTCCAGGTCGGAGACTGCGGCAAGCCTTTTGCAGCGCCACATGGGCCATTCGATGTGACACTCGGTGTATGGTTTCTGAATTACGCTTCGAATTACGAGGAAATGGCCTCTATGTGGCAGAACATCGCGGCAAACCTCAAGCCTGGCGGGCGATTCGTGGCGCTGACGTCAAATCCCTTTGTAGGCCTTGAAGCACCGTTTGACGATCGCTACGGGATCGATCTCACAACACTCGGTAGAACAGAGGAAGGCGGGTGGAAATGTAGAGTCACTGGCTATACGCAACCGGAGCCTGTCGAATTCGAGAACTATCACCAACCAGAAGAAGTCTACGAGAGGGCTGCAGCCGAAGCCGGCATGCAGAATCTGACATGGCGGTCCCACGTCTTGCCAAACGACGGACGACCAGAGGGCTACTGGGACGTTTACAATCTGAGACCTCATTACAGCCTCTTGACAGCGGTCAAACCGGAATAGCTAGACAGACGAGACCCTGAACGTCAGAATCATGGTTTATCTGGGGTAACAGATCAAGATGAGCGGGAGGAGAGGGAGAAAGATGGACAGGGCTCGCGACTCGCGAAGAATCGAAAAGTAGAATAGTTGGGGGGATATGATAAGCTACGCCGGCGGAACCACTTGGAATCAGATGAAGAGCGCGAAGCAATGTCCACGGAGCCGGAAGATGAGGCAGATGCGATGAAGGCGAGCGAGCCCGATCGATGTTACGAAGCCTTATGCGACGACGTGGAAGCCGAGAGAGTTCATGAGCACTTTCGCTTCCACTTCCAGATGCTTGGAGGCCACCCAGAACATTTGCAGGGCTGTATACTCGAGGCACCCGGTAGCGAGACCAGGGTTGGCCGTGGTGCCGACACCGTTCCATGGAGAAACGATGGGGTTGGCTTTCAACTGGTCCTTGGGGCAACGGTGATGGGATGGTGTGCTGGTTCATCCACAGCCAGCCGCGAATGGGGTTGGCATGGCATGGGTGGAGTTCGTATGCTCCCACTATCATGCAGGACTATCCATTATGTACCTGCATCAGTGGGTATCTGACAGGCATTAACGAGAACGAGGTGCCTTCATACTTTCACAAGTGTCAGCATGTTCCTTTAGTGAACATCACCTGCCTGGCTCGTCACACCGCGGGTCTTCAATGCATCGCTCGATCGAGCAATCATGGCCGCCAACATATCACAGAACATTTTTCTACGATTCCAAGAACTTCCCCCGGCACACACTCCTGGAGTGACCGTCAAGTGGATTCCTGGACACAGAGATATTGATGGCAGCGAAGCTGCCGACACACTAGCAAAAAAGGGTGCCATGCTAGAATCAGACACGACAAACCTTCCCACAATCTCGTGGATCAAGAGAGATCTCAAAAGAAAAGGCAAGAAAGAGTTCAATCAATAATGGAAAGACCAATCAGAACCTAGGTATCAAGAAGTATACTCACATGCAGTAACTGAAAAAGACCTTATATCTTTTAAGAGGAGTACTTTACACAGACTTCTAGCGGCCAGATCTGGACATGGCGACTTTGCCAGATACCACGAACGCTTTGGGCATACAGACTCGAATGATCACTGCAGCTGTGGTGAGAAGAAAACACCACAACACATTTTCTTTTATAAGAGATTGGGGAAAAGTCGGCTGCTGCCCAGGTACTTGCCTAGGGCAGCTTGTTTACAATACTTAGGGGAGAGGAGCACAGAATGGGCAAAATTTGTGGAGAAGAGCAAATTCTTTTCATCAATCTGCCCTCGATAGATAGCTGTTCTGAAGGACCAGATGGATGACCCAAGGTCATACCGCCGCAACAACGGAGATGGGCTCGTGAGCGGGACTGACTGTACTTATTATCTTGATACCTCCACAACCCTGCGATGCAGAGGCTCTGGGAGGCGTGGTTTGCACTACTGAGGAGCAATCCCCCACGTTAAATACAAAACAAACAAAACAAACAAACATGGCCGCCAACATAATAGTTTCGGACCTCGGATTTAATCATTAGTGCTGACCTGCGTGAGAGGCTTCTCCTCTTTCACTGTAATCAAAAGTGAGCACGCGGCCACTACTTGTTGACCGGGAATTCGATCGGCCGCAAGAAGAGTCCAGTGCTTGAGCATCGTTAACGACTTCAGAATGTCGGCCGCCAAACCTGTGCTATTGATGGTGCACGGCGCCTGGCACGTGCCAAGTCATTATGACATGCTGAAAGTCGAGCTCCAAAACTTGGGCTTCGAGTTCATCTGTCCTGCTCTACCCACGATGAGCGAGGGAAGAGGTGGGGTGGACTACATGGCTGACGTGCAGTGTATCAGTGTGGGCCTTCTTTCTTCTGTTGCACACGGGCGCATCAAGTCCTACATACCGTTGCCAAACTCGCTCCATGATGGCCGCTAACCCAGATGACAGTTGATACCCCTTTACTCGACCAGGGGAGGGAGGTCGTCATCATGGGACCTTCTTATGGAGGCGTGCCAGCAACTATAGGGACGGAGGGTTTGGGCGTCGATGAACGTCGAGCACAAGGCAAGTCCGGCGGATTTAAGAAGATTATCTTCGTAAGTCTGCGAGCGACCGATCATCTCATCCGCATGTCTCTTTGACGACTGCTCTCGCGCTCTCCGCTGACTTAGACAACATAGGTTGCCGGCTTCGTTATACCGCAGAAGAACACGAGCATGATCGATGCCTTCGGTGGCTCTTGGCCGGATATGTTTGACGTCGGCGAGCCCGGCACGAAGGCAAGTACCCGACCACGCCAATGTCCCGGTCGTTACCGGAGCTGTGATATCGCTATATGATAGCTACTGACGGCCCAACAGAGCCGATCATTCCCCAAAGCGCAAGCACATGGAGTCCTCTTCAACGATCTACCGCCGGCGGAGGCCCTGCGCAATGCTCAGCTACTGGTCCCCCAATAACAGGATGCAGCCGAGACGCCGGTTCAGTATATTCCCAGCGACCTGACCATTCCTAAGGCATACATCATCTGCGAGAGAGATATGGTGATGACCACGGCTTTTCAGGAGCAGATTGTTGCTGCTGACCCGTGGTTTGAGTCGTATAGCGTGGATGCTGGACATAGTCCATTCATTTTGAAGCCAAGGAAGACTGCTGAAGTCATCGCTCAGATTGTTAAGCAGTGAGATGATCATGTTATTAGACGACTGGTAGGGCATGTGATAAACCGAACGGGGAACATTGGTACACGTGGCATTAATAGATGGTGAGGAATGCAAAGGGGTGAGTATGGCAAATGAGGTTCTTACCTGAAGACCGGCAAGTATGCAGGACACTCTTACAGTGGCATGTCTCCATTGACCTTGTTGACTTTCTTTCATAACCCCTTACATCCGTTCATCGAGGCACTGATATCCTTTCCTGGAGGCCTGATTCTTCTTGGTATATTGACCTTGTCTACACCTCTAACAATCACGACGTGTCCTCGCACTGATGTTTTTGATCCCTGAGCTGACATTCCCCGGCTGACCAGAGACCAGTCGTAATTACCTAGACTATCATTCAAGCATCTCCGATTGGCTCGGTCATGACGCAGTTTCAGCTGGTGAGTGCGGACCGGTTACGTGCTCGTGGCTCGCTTCCGCCATGAGTCCCGCGTTCCGGAGGATCCACACGCCGCTGGTTGTCACCCACGGGACCCGCGACGGACGAAATCCGTGCTGGCGGAATCATGAAGTCCCGCGTAGTAGTATACATAACAGAGCCATAAACATACTTTGGCTTTCCTATATGCACCACTCCCCAATCAAGGCTGCGTCTATTTGTTCCTTTCCTCAGGTTTAACTTTCTCTACTAACTCGTACCGAACCTCCTCCCTTTCAACATGTCTGCCACTAAGCTCGAATACCCCGAGGACAGCTTCCCGACTTTGAAGCCCGCCTTCATTGTCAAAGCCTGGGGCATCTCCGACCAGTTCCCCTGCGGCGACGTCTGGACTGGCGGCACCCTGTTAGCCGTCGTAAGTTTCCCAAGAGCGGCAATTCTTCGGACTAACAATCGCTGACGGAGAAACTAGCCCTTCTACGACGGCATTGTCGAGTCCGTTGGCGGCTTCGAGCCCAGGTTCAAGTTCGAGATCAAGCACGGCTGCGACTACTTCAAGATCGACCAGGACAAGGCCCACGGCCGCCTCGTCGTCAAGGTCATCCTCAGCGACGACGAGGGCCGTGCCGTCACCATGACCGTCTACGGAATTTGTGAACTGAACAATGTCAACATGCCTATCCTGATGGGCGACCCGAGCGCCGCATCGGCCCCTTTCGGCTACTCGAGTGAGTGAAATACAGTCATCTGATGTCGTCATGTCGTTTCCGCCCTGAACCGACTCTAGTGGAGCACATCAGCTTCGAGTCCGGCCACGACGGGTACAAGCCCCTGGAGAGCATGCTTTTCGCCGGCAGTCAGCGCTTCACCGCCGGTGGCCACGGATCGCTTGGGATCGAGGTTCGTGCCTCAAGGATCATCTCTGGAACGGGGACTGAGTAACGCTGCCTGCCTATGTCGCGTGCTTTTGGGCGCACGCCCCTTTGCGGAAGTGGGGCATGTACTTTCGGCTGAAGGTGTGATACGTATGGCTACGAAGTTCCCTCGGCTTTGAAGTGCGGTAATTTGAGTGAATGCAATGGCTGCCGACTTCTTGCCGTTATGGGGTGTACAGTCACCTCAGCATGAGCGACATTCCTGGAAGCAATCTCGCAGACATTGCCCCCTGTGCCGTCCGCACATGGCAGCTTGGTCGGCGAAAATACGGTTTGGACGTTTCTTTGTGAGAAAAAACTGAAGTCAGTATGTCAGTATGTGCATGAAAGCAAAGAGCACGGCGTATACGAACTCACCACTGCCGTCTTTATGCCTTCCTCGTCCCCGTCATTAGCCGTGTTAACCAATTTGTGTTGATCAGGCTTAAGTAGATACCCTCGAGCACTATGTCAGTGAGTCGTACAGGGCGAGCGTGAGTCACATTCGGTTTAACGGTATCGCACAGGTTCTCCGGCATTCACCAGAACGTTGCAACGTCTCACATATGGTTTATTTTCAGTGAATGCTTCATCTTCGCAACGGTGACTTCTTGATACTCGAGAATGATATAAAAACACTCCTTGCTTCCTCTGTGCATTCCTTCCCTCCTCCACTTCTGATCAATATCAACACCAAAATGATACACAAACTCTCACGACCAACAACTACAGGCCACGGCTAACATCAACTCTCCTACACGAACAACCCACACTCGACGATTTTTCCATCCTAGAACCAGCCACGGATCTCTTCGCCAAGATGTTTTACATGGTGTATCTCATGTGTCGGGAACCTACATGTGGTGCTTGGATTAGTGGACCGGCCAAGGAAAAGAGACATGATCCCGCCTGACGAGATGACGCATGCCGCGAAGTAAGAAGACACACTGGATTGTGTGGCGCCCATGCTGGCGGGATTTCAAACTAAAAGGAGTCGCGCCTAAGGGTATTGACGGGTTGGATGTGCTCTTGCTATCGTCTGAGTGCCGGCGCAAGGAACGTAGCGAGGGGGAAACGAGCGGGACTCGACCAACTTTTTATTGGACTGGGTAGCTAGCTATCATAGTAGATATCTAGACTCGTGAACCTGAATCAATCAGCACACTTTGACTTGGACAGTGGGCGAGCGTATTGTGCTATGGAATCTCCGAGGAGATGACAAGGGGCAAGATCTGTCGGATCTCTCCACACCTCGAGTGGGCTGAAAAGGGTCAAGTGCTAACGCAAGTATGTGATATTTAGGACAAAGCAAAAGAGGCGTATGTGGTGAGTAGGTCGTTGGGCTAAGATCGAGGCGCATTCTGGACAAAGGGGTCGGGAGATTGTTGAGGAAACTGTTGACAGCATACGAAGGCTTTGTCCGTTGTCGATATCCTCTTCTTTACAATGAAACTAGGAACTCCACTTTATTATGGAACTAAAGACTTCGCAGTGGTTGTCCACAAAGTGCTTGATAGGGGACAAAGGCACAGTTCAACAGCGAAGGTGATATGTCGGCGTGTATATATCAAGGTGGCAGGTACTCGCCTGGTGTCTCTTGATGGATCAGTAGATTAGCACCCTTTTTGTGCATCTGCCGAGCCGTCAAAAATCTTTGAAAGGACAGCGTTGCTCTCGGCCCTCCAGTCAGGTAAAACTGTAAGTCATCCTCGCCACAACCCCTAGCCCGTCACAACCCAGATTGCAAAAATGGGTCAGTGTCTTTCATGACCCCAGTCAGCCGCGGAAGCCCCCATGCTGAACGATCCGGCTCAATTTCGTGCTAGAGGCCTTGGAGCAGCAGGTTCGCATGAAGAGGCCAAGAAGATAGGTCAATTTAGGAAGCAGCAGTATGCAAGGTTCCGACCAACTCAATCCACGTTAATATGGAGGTCTCGTTGAGTGAGTTGCCAAGCTTTTTGAAAATCTTCTAGTTGAGTGGATTGACGTTAATCAACAAGGGGTCTCCGTTGATATTGATCAACGTCTGTTGATATGAAAAAATACTTGAAAATAGTAAGGTTTTATAGGGCGGAAGAAGTATTTTGGCATGACCCACTTAGAACCGGAATATCTTATATGGTCAAAATTTTTTTTCAACATATCAACGATATCCACGTCAATATCAACTCACGATAGCCTCGTCGTTAAGTTGGTTGCTAAGGCTATAAGGGTCTTGGTGGATTGAGTTGACGTGGATATTGACGTCAACGGTTGACGTGGATTGATATCCGTTGAGTTGGTCGGAACCTTGGTGCCAGTATGGTCAGAAGGACAGTTTCGAAGAGGACGAGGAACCGGCGAAGCTCGGGGCTTGGGGGCGCAAAGCAGCCGACGTCCATGCCAAGAAAGGGACTCCTGGACAGGAGAGAACTCTTGCCTGATTACCTTGTGAACAAGTAGAGCATTTGAAACACCAACGTGTACGAGCAGGGAGGTGCGCATAAAGAAGAGAAGGGCGAGTGTGGAGATGGAGGTATGCATAAAGAAGAGAGAGAGAGTGCGGAGACTCGAGACTTTCATCCAGAAAAGGAGACTGCGAGAGTTAGATAGCCTCACAATAGCCTTTTCGAGGGTTGATCGATGGCTTTGGTGCTCCGTGGTCCATAACACAGCATCGCCAAGATGATGAAATATATCCTATATGTAGTATCGTCGCACCAATTTCCTGCATGTCACGGTAGCTGATCAGTGATCCTTATGAATGGTCGAAGCATTCGCTGTGTACAAGTATTGTAGCCTATGGCTACGGTTAATACTCCGCTGTGCCCCCTATAACAGTACCTTGGGTGGTTCCGCTATCTCATTCATATCAGCAACTGAGCGGGCAGTGTCTAAACCTACCCAACCCGCTCCAATGGCACTTATCACTGGAAATACGCATCATGTCATGTCCTGGTAGCGCCGCTTCACATTCAAAGTGTTCCACCCTTTGAGACCAACCAAGCCCTCGTCTCCTCAACACCTAACGCAGTAGAAACCAACATCTTGCCAAACTCCTCAACATCATCACCCTCGACTTCCTCGAGTAGCTCCTGGAAGTTATTCGGCGTCGCGACCAAGTGCCTTTTACTCCGCCAAGCCATCGCAAAGTCAATCGCATCCTTTGCCTTCCACAAGTGGGCAGAGAGCGTAAAGGCCTGGCACAGGCCGAGTCGCGGATCGCAAGCCGTACAATCGGGGCCCGGCATCCGGGCAGGTGTACCGAGGCGCAGAGGAGACGCAACCATGAACTGCTGTATTTGCAGGTAGAAGAAGGACATCATCACCGTCCGTCTCAGAGACTCCTGGAACGTCCAGTCTTCGAACCTTGCGCGCGCTATGGCAAGCGGGTAGAGGGGTATCTCCCTCGCCGCCCGCGTTGTGACGCTGCGTTCTTCCTCTAGACCTGCCCTACCGGTCGCCATTTCGGAGTCGTATTTCGCGTGCTGAGCGAGCGCGAATGCGGCGTCCGTGAGTGTCGCTGACGTCTCCTCCGCTTCGGCTCGGGCCGCGTGTGAGATGTCGAAGAAGAGGATGATCTGGTATATGAGGAGACCATGGGTGTGTGCGAGCAGCTCCCGCGGGCTGAATGTTGGGATAGGGGTGATAAGGAGCGCGTGATACTTGGCCTGGATGACACGCTGGAGCACGAGGGTGTTCACAGAAGTCTTTGCTTGGTGGAGGGCACACGCTGCTACTGCATCTGACATGCATGTTAGATGAGTTGGTATGAGAGGCAGAGGCCGAAGAGGTCGTCGTGGCCGATGGACTTACCCTGGACAGACGCGGGCATGGAGTCACGATAGAGCATAGAATGGCTCCACGGCGTGCCGTTCTCGAGCAGCATCCTCTCGGGTATTCCCATGAACTGATCAATAGCGTAGCGAAAGTGGTGTTCGACCAGCATCGAGGTGTTTGCGAAAGTCCGCAGCCTTGTCGCGCTGACGGCTGAAGGAGCCGGGTGACGGAGAAGTTCTGGAGGCGTCGACTTATCTACCTCCGGCCAGGTCGGCGTCAGGCTCAAGATGTCGCCTGAGTCTACATTATCGTCCAAGATCTCTAAGCCTGTCATGTTCTGCTGCTCGAATGAGATGGTTGGAAAGGTAGGACATGTCGATGTGCACGACTGCTCCAGGTCCATGCTGAAGTCGAACTCCGAAGTTGGCCATGAAGAGACATCTGACACGAATTCCGGTGTCGAAGCTTGTGCCAGGGGAGTAGTCGGATCCGACTCGCTGGAGACTGCTCTATCTGCCGCTGTCTGCGTCGGATAGGAACAATCGATCCTCCTCTGTGAACACCGCAGGCACGTTGGCTGGCGTAGATCGCATCGCCTTTTCGATCTGATGCAGGCGGCGCAGGATTTCCGCCGAGGTGGCGGATTACCGCGCTCGAGAGCGGATAGGGATTGCGACATTGTATTTGCAACTGTCTCTCAAGTATACAGTGTCCCGAATACTAAATTCATGTTGACGCAGAAAGAGAAAGTGGAATCAGGGGTGATGGAGACGGTGTGTCTAGGTGACAGAGTGTATGAGGTGGGAGTCCACGGGCGGCGGATTTCCACACCCACCCTTGAATGCTTAGTAGTATACTAACAGCAACTGGTGAGCTTTGGCGCAGTCATTGATAGTGTGTGATCAAGCGGTACTCCGCCCGCTAAGCCAGTGTCTCGAACTTGCAGCGCCTCAATGCTTCAGAGTGCACGAAGGTCAGGGGCAGGTTCTCGATCGGGAATTCCACCACTGTAGTCAGATATTCGCACTCTATTGACTAATTATTCGACCGTATCCAGGATATCCGACTTTCGCCGTGCTTTCTAAGCAGTGGCGGAAAACCGCCCTGTTGCGCACATGGCGGGATCATGGACTGTTTCGACAAGGCTGGTGGTATCTTGGGTGCTAGTAACCTCCCTGTAGCCATCATACAGACTTCGGTATATATATAGCTCGGGCTCCCTATCCGAAATGGGAGGAATTTAAGACACAGACAGCAGTTCTTTCGCACTTTGAACCCCAACATAGCCTCCATCAAAGCCCATTTGGTTAACCTCGTCCATACGTTTCGTCGATATACACGGTTACACCTCGACACGCGCTCCATACCATGGCACCCACGATCTTCGTCACTGCTGCCACCGGCACCATCGGAAACGCCGTAGCCCACGACCTCATCAAGGCCGGCTGTGCCGTCAACACCACGACCCGCAACCCGGAGTCCCAAGCCGCAAAGGGCCTTGCCACCGCCGGAGTGAACGTGTTGACTGGCGACTGGGATAACGAAGAGGTCCTGAAGCAAGCCATGCTCGGTTGCGACGGGCTCTTCATGAACCTAATGCCCGACTTGGCGGACCTAACCTCGGACCTCAAGCAGGGCAGGAGGATCCTCGCCATCGCGAAGGCCGCCGGGGTCAAGCACGCCATCTACTCGACCTCCGTGGGTGCCAACTATCAGGGGACCCTGCCATACTCGAGTCCTGGCGGTCTCTTCTCGACGCTCCTGAACACCAAGAAGACTCTTGAGGGTGAGGTCCGCAATGCGGGATTTGACAGCTATACCATTTTTCGACCAGGCGGGTTCAGTAAGTCGCACCATCTCTGTCTCCGGCTCTTTCTGTCACTGAAAGCACTGGCTAACCTGACATGCCACAGTGGCAAACTGGGTAGTGCCCAAGGTCGACTTCATATTCGCCGGTTTTGCCAAAACGGGCATCAACACAACGGGCATGAAGCCCGACAGCCTCCTGAGCTCGATCGACGAGCACGATGTCGCGGCGTTCGCCATCGCCGCATTCAAGGACCCGGCCCGGTTCGACAAGCAGGAGATCGAGCTGTCGTCGGAGCTGCAGACGGTTGAGGAGGTGCTTCGGGAGCTGTCGGAGGCGACGGGCCGCGAGCTGAAGGCGGTGTACCTGACGGACGAGGAGATTGCGGCCAGGGTCGGCAAGGATCTGATGCTGGAGTCCCAACTCAATGCGAATGCCATGGTCAAGCTGATCGATATGGCTAAGGTGAAGAAGTGGGGTATTCCGCTTACCAGCTTCAAGCAGTGGCTCGAGAGGGAGAAGAACCAGGTCGAGAAGACGTACAATCATAAATAGGGAGTTTGGCTGGGCGGTGGCTGGACTAGTGGCGGCTCCTCCAAGCGGGAGGGTGCAGGTGTAGCTAGCATGAGAGTCGATGTAGCCATGACAGGCTCAATCAAGTCAAGATGGTGTCAATGAGGTTCACATTACAACGAAAGGATGAGAGAAGAGTGAGGAGGACAAAAGAGATATATTCGCCGTATAGGCTGCTGACTAGCTGTGTGACTACCTCCGGTAGCTAATCCATCAGTGAACCACAAGCTAGTCGGTCGGGTATCAAGTCTCGCTCCAAGGAGCGAGAATGCAATGTTGCTCATGACATGTGTGCTGCTCCGGAAACTGAGCCCCCCAATCCGATTCCGTCGACCCCTGAGCTCGGTGCTCATAACCTGTCGGTGCTCCGGAACTGAGCCAGCCTCTTCGATTCCGTCGACCCTCGGGTTTGGTGCTCATAACTTGTCGTTGCTCGTGCGAGTCCGGCTTATCCGACCCCCTCGACCCCTAACGATATCCGCCTCGTACCGAATCGGTCCGGACCGACTCGGTCCCTGGCGAACATCATGACATACCGCCCGATGGCCGCATGTCACGTACTCCTTGGGTCGACCGATGTGCCGAACGCCTGCTTGCAACCCGTCAGTCATCTCCCCGGGCGCGAGACCAAATACGGCACTCGTGGGAAACTCACCTTTCCCTCGGCCATAGCACCGACCGAGACACGGGCCACGGCGGCCATGACAACAGCGACGACAGTCAGGAAGGCATCCATTATGACAGCTGTTGGGGATTGGTTGGGGAAGTGGGTGGGAAAGTTGGTTGAAGGGTGGTTGATCGAGTAAAGGCTAGGCCTCTGGTCTTCCAAAATCTCTAGGGTGTGGGATTTGAGGCTCTATTTATACACAGCGCCGGGTGCCTCCTGATGGGCTACGGAGGCCCGGATTCAGAGTTCCGGTATTGTCCGTGCCACTGGATGCGCTGACCGCAACGCTCACTGGAAGCGGTGAACTCCATTTTCGGTTGAGGGATGCAAAGCTTTGGAGCCCAACGTGCCACTATTCCCTGCCAGTGGCCTATAGATCCCCTGCCATCCTGTCGCACGCGTCGCAAATACCTGTCGGCCAAGCAGCTTTGCCAGCCTACGACTTTGCTGGCAGGCGTTCATTGGCAAGAGTCCTGGAGTCCCACTGGAGAAGTTCCTGGCTCGCCGTGGTCGTGGCCCAGTGTGGTCCCGGGGACGGTTCTGGCCGCTTGGCCCAACCTCGCCGGTCCCACGAATTGGGAAATCAAGCGGCGGGAGACCCGGTCTTGCCAGTGGGCCTCATTGCTTGATTGGGGCGATCGACGACTTCTTCGAGCTTGTGGGTCGCGTCAGACGCGCTTCAAGGGGTTAGAATGAGCGGTGTACCAAGGTCCAACCCCTTGAATCAATTCCAAGGACCAACAGTCTTTACGACGTTTGGAATGAAGTCCTTTCCACTGCAGGGTCTTGTCTTTAATGTACCTACCTCTTCCGACACTCATCAATTATATGATCAATATCGACGGCCGACATTGACTGCTCATGGTCAACGTCGCGGAAGGTGTTCATCGCATTAGATACCGGTCGCAGATGCGACCGTCTTCTGACTTGGCGACTTTGGAAGTTCCTAGTCCCGCTAGTTGTACCTCGCACCCTGGACAAGTCCTTTCCTGGGGGTACATGGCTGTGATTACCACCGAGTCGTGACCTTATCGAGTTCGAATTGTTCCTTGAAGCACTTGTGAGTATGGCTGGCGAGAGGCAGCGTAAGCTCAAGGTCCAAGTGTCTATTGAATAGCAGCATGTTTAGGGTCGTTGATGATGTATTACCTATAAACAAATCGAAACCGTATGCGACGATGCTTGCCTAGATCGGCTCGTCAGATGTGGATGGTGTACAGTGGTTACCCCTAATAGGAAATGAGATCTATTAGTAGAAAAATATGCGTTATCTCGACTATATGCGGTATCTAGTAAGCACGTAACCGGGTATTACCTTGTAGTTTTTACTATAACTATTACTTAATTTATAAGGTTATATATTATATAACACTTTAAAATAACTTTTACTTTATTATCGCTATTAACTTGTAATTGGTTGTGATTAATATTTAAATAAATGCCTTGTGAGATACTAGAAGGGTCACAAGCCTTTGGGGTGTGAACAGTCGCTGCAAACGTTGTTGTTATTCTCAAGTATGCTTAGCAGGGCTAATCTACAGCTAAATACTATACTGCACCATACCAGGGTGGATCCACTGTTCCCTTGACAGCCCTCTAGTGGGTACTGCACCTAAGGGCACCATATTTGGGATCCAACACCTGACATGCCTCAATATTTATCGTGTTTAATCGTTTCTCACGCTTTAAATACGTATTTAATTAAATCTCGTACTTTAAATGATTATATTACTTAATTTCGATAAATCTTTTATATACATTAAATTAGACATGATATATACGCTCGTTCATTATTAAGTTTTTAATTAAAAAAAAACTAATCGGTGCCGCGCTTGGTTTCAATAACGTATATTACGAATAAGTTGAAAAAGAAAGCTGTTATCTTATAAAAAAGCTATTGAAAAGGGTTATTATGAAATATATAATTATAACTTTTAAAAAGCGATAAACTTTTGGATAATATAGTATATATAAAGAGTAAAAATAAAGGATTAATAATGGTATATATAGCTAAACTCCTTATTAAAAGTCGTTTAAATAGCAATATCGTTAATTGTCACGGCGAGCGTACTGAAGAGCTGGGACATGGCCGGCAACAAGCAGCTATTACTCTATTGACGAGAATATTAAGACTAGAGAGGAAAGGAAGAGAGAGAGAGAGATAGGTACAGTGGGAGGTTGCCCCTTTAAAGGGATCCTCTGGTCAGACCCTTTCCCTATTAGGAAGTATCCGCTTGTCATGTGAGAAGGTCTGTGCAGGCCGTCACATTAATAAAAGTAAAAAAAACATATCTTTTATTTTTTAAAAAGCTTTAAATATTGTTACGTAAATAACTCGTTTTATTTTACTAAGCCTAAAAGCTTTAAAAAGGTTCAAAGACTTTTCTTTAAAAAATAATTAGTTATTTTGTTTATTAGCTCTTTTTTTCCTCGTCGGTATTACGATGATTTGTTTGTTTAATACTCTTCAAATACTTACTTTAAAACCTTTGAATCTATATGAAAATTATTAAAAGCTTCGCTCTTATCATTTAAGTTTTAAAAATCTTTGAAAAAATCTTATTAATTAAATTAAATATAATAATATTATATAACGTTTAAAAGTCGTTAAATGGTTGGCTTATGATTTTAAAGTTTTAAACCCCTTTCTTAATAACGTGTATTTACGCTAATAATTATAACTAATATATTTTATTGAAATACAGATAATAATCCTCTAAAATCCTTTCTATAAGAAGTATTGACAAGATATATTTAATAAAGTCGGTATGAAAAAGTTTATAACGAAGTTATAAAGCTAATAAAAATACGACGTTTTACAATATGCTTTGAAAATAGTGATAATGATTATATTATACGGTTAAGATATTGAACTAATATTAAAAAGAAAAACTTTACGGTAATATTAATGGAAACAAGTAAGTTCAAGCTTTAAAGTAAAAGCGGTAAAATTATTTAAAACAGAAATTGTTGGATCCATGTGATTCTACAGTCAAACCATCCATACAGAATTTACATGTATGATTAAATAAGAGATTAGATACCGGATTGTGAGGTCACCTAGCCAGACCTGCAAGTCCTGCTAGACTTCCTAATCCAACCATCAGCAACATCATGACCTTGACCCCATACTCGAGTATTGTCACGGCGAGCGTACTGAGGAGCTGGGACATGGCCGGCAGCAAGCAGCTATTACTCTATTGACAAGAATATTAAGACTAGAGAGGAAAGGAAGAGAGAGAGAGAGATAGGTACAGTGGGAGGTTGCCCCTTTAAGGAGATCCTCTGGTCAGATCCTTCCCCTATTGGGAGGTATCCACTTGTCATGTGGGAAGGTCTGTGCAGGCCGCCACAGCCGTCACACTACTCCCCCCCTTATTAAAGTCGGTTTACGACGGTGATTTCTTACAAGTTCTTCTTACTCCTTGTGCAGAGCCCCTTACAGGCAAATTGTCTTCCTCATGATCAGTTAGGTCCTGATCATCAGTAGCAGCCTCTATCCATTGCTGTAACCTTTGAGGTGGACCTGGCGCCTTGGGATTTGCCTCATGGAACTCTTTGACGCGTACAGCTGAGCCTCTGAAGTTAGCTGCTGGGTACCACATCGGGTCAGGATCATGACCTGTCCATTCAGCCTGGTACTCCAGCTTGCCCCGGGTTTGGCGGGAGGACAGAATTTTGTTAACTTCCCACTCAGGAACCCCATCCACGTTGACGGGAGGCGGTGGAGGGATCACCTGACCTGGGACAGGGTTATTTGGTGACCGTACTAAGCGGCTTGCATTGATAACCCAATGAGCGTTTATCCCAGGGGGTAAGTCAATCTCAAAGGCATTCTCATTGACCTGTTTGATAACCCGATATGGTCCCATATAGGGGTTGTCCAACCCATCATGTGGGCGGTCAGTGCGCCATGCTCCTTTGCAGACATATACCATATCTTCTGGCTTCCAGTCGATTGGTCGTCGGGATTTGTCAGCCTGTTTCTTGTACTCTATTTGTGCCTTGAAGAGGTTGGTTTTGGCCCATACCACAGCCTGTGCCCGGCGTTCAGCAAACTCTTAAGCGTCTGAACGACTCAGCTGCTCTGTAATAGGCGTCTTTCTTGAGAGAGGACTGCGTTTATCCCAGTCAAACGTCATGACTAGAAGAAACCCCATTTTAACCTCAGCTGGAGATAAGCCAGTACTTGCATGAGGTTGTGTGGCGTAAGCAAAATCCAGACAGGGCAGCAATTGAGACCAGTCATCCTGAAAATGGCTTATAAAGGGTCAGAGCTTGGTCTGGAGGAACTGGTTAATGATCTCTGTCTGAC